AACTATACTGATAAGAGATACGATAGTGATAAGAATGGCTGTTGTTATCAGCTGATAACAGAATATAGGATAATAAGGGACTAATGAGATTTGGCTTCAACGTGCTTGGCTTTAGCTGAAAATTGTGATTAATTTTTTTGTTAAGGGCAAGATTCAGGAGACGATACGACTATTCTTAAACAAAAGGGGAGGGCTGTAGATAGTTTTTCCAAAAAAAAAAAAAAAATAATAAAATACCGTCCGGTAAAGTAGATCGCGTGTCATAACGTACGACAATCGGTCAGCTGGGGACCAAAAAAAAAAAAAAGTCATAATAACACCACTTAGCAATCTAGTAGTTTTGCAACGCTGTGTTCTCGGTTCTTATAACGTCATGAGTCTCTTCGAGGGGAAAAAAAATAGCATTGTAAACACAATATAAAGTATAACGATGATTGATGATGGCACTCAGACCGCTCTCTTTTGTTCGTCTTGTATCTCATGTTTTGTCTCCGACGTCGAACCACTAGGCGAGCTACACTATTCATCGATTATTATTGTATATTGTAATTAATTATCCGGCAAACGGTTGTGGACTTTACAAAATTATAACACAGCTGCTGAATCTACCGTTTTTTCACTACATTCCTCTATTTATACGTTGTATCAAAGTCAAAGACGCGATAAGAATATTTCCAAGGAGATTCAGGAGCAAGCGGCGGTTTAAATGATTTTCAAAATAGTCCAATTACTTTCAAATTTTTGTTTGGGACATATGTTTTAATACATATTGCTATCCATATACGTTGGCAAACTAAAAAAAAATATCAAAAACCCTTCTCCCATAATAGGGTGGTGTCTTTTTTTTAGTAAAGCTGTAATCTGTATAATTTTTTTCAAAAATCTGTAAAACCGTTTTTTTTATAAAGAAAAACCTTCCAAAAAGCGGAAAACAGTTTTGACTGTATTAAACCTGGATAAAGCTCCTTTCATCATTCACATAATATAGAAAAAGATATGATCTTTCTCTCAAAGGAAATACATTGGATCATGAACGTGATTCTCTTACCATTAAATTCTTGTTGGCTGATTCTCTTATCAATTATATCTTATTCGCTGTTATCCGGTAGTTATCAATTTGCCCTTATCACCACCTCATCCACACTTATCTTATCTCTTCCCCTACCCTCATGACCCTCTTATACATGCCAATATTATCAGTATCAATTATTAGTCGTTTGGTTTTCGCATCACACTCGGTCACAACAATTCCTGAAGACTCGTCAGCTTCCTTATACATACAGGCTTTGTTTTTTTTTTAATCTACAATTCCTTACCACATTCCTAACGCGTACGAGCTCACCTAATTAGGTTACTCTGATCAATCGATAAACTGTATAGGTCTGTAGGTAAAACTCTTGAAGACCAGCCGATTTGCTGGCACTTCGATAAATCTCAAACTGGGTCATCGTGCGGTGCATCTCTTTTGTCCGGCCTTCTTCAACGAGATAACTGTACATCATATTGTCTACACATAAGTCATGATGATAATATTATCGTTATTATTGTTGTATATATTGGAAGCCGACCAAAAATCTATTTCTGCGCTCGTCGAGACTGACAAGACTTTTTTTTGTTCGGTTCCTTTTATATATTATTAAATGTTTCACCGCCCCGCGCTTAATATCCGTCAACTAATTGTCTTGTGTACACACTTATTTTAATAATGGTTCGTCCTTCGTTTTCAAACCAAAATCAATCGAAAATTTTCAAAAATGTTCTCGAAATTATTCTTATCTATTAGGGTCTTATTAGTTATTACAGATAAAATAAACCAGATGAGTGTACTCGTCCATATTGAAGCAATGTGTAATTTATGAAAATGTAAACACAAACCAAAACCCTCCTCAACTCTGTGCAGCACTACTGGCAGAGAAAATAAACCTTGAAAGTATTTGGAAAAATCGCGCTTTAGCTAATAATGAAATTATTGTTAATAACGTTGTTGTTTTATATTCAAGCGAAAACGGGATTTCATGCACCAGCTGTGTTCTATATTATTTTGCCCTTGATCCGATTGCATTTTTCTGTATACTTTTTTACTACAATCGGATTGGCGATTTTTCCGGTTAATTATATAGCTGGATTACCATATTAAAATAAAATAACATACACTATTGTTGTATAGATGCATAAAAAAACTTATTCATATGACAAGCAAGTCTGCTGTCGGTTGTCTCCGCGTGTAACGATACGTTTGCGCAATTATCGCCGTTTTGTCTGTACTTATGTGTTTGTATATGTATATACAAAGTATGACTATGTTATTTTCAAAAAAATCATACCTTTAGATTGGTTTTGCAATAATAATTAGTGGTTTTGTGTTGGTCTAACTCCATGTACGGCTCGCGGCCTCGACGGGTCAACAAATCGCCGCAGAAGCGTTTACGTTAATAATAATAAAAAAAATTCAAATGTATAAACATTCTATATATAGTGTTGTTTGCCCGTTTTTTAACGTGTAAAAAAATTAAATAAATAAACAAAACCATTACAGTGACAGAGCGTCGGTCCCTTTGATTTTTTTTTTTGTAAGGCGAGACACAGTGTGACCACTTTAAATGAAATGAAATACTTTTTTTTATAAGTTGTTAAACACTCTGCGCGGTATAATCCTTGTCGACTGGTATACGGATCGATGGATAAATTCAAATTTTATATCATAGCATTGTATTACTGATAATTCATATTTTTGTATCGCGTGGTTGCAGCAGTGGTAACACAAATCAGAAATACGCAGACCCGAAAAATGTGATTTCGTCGTTTTGGTCACACTGCAGCTCGCCTTTTTTCTCACTTTATAGCAATATTTTACTAATTTCCAACCTCACCGCGTCAGCGGAAGTAATTTCCTTCAATCGAAATTGATTTTTCCATATTTTTTTTTTCGATAGGCAGAAAAATATTTTGGGTTTGACCTGAAAAAAATTCAATATTCGTCAACCCCTAGAGGGGGGGGGGAGTGGACAAGTAGAGGAACTGCTAACACGTGCAGCTGCGTCACATAGTTTTGCGTTATTAATTTTATTTTTTCAAATACTGTCGAATGAAATAAAATTGAATTAAAAAAGAAACACCGTTAAAACGTATGGCGGGTCATTAATTTTGCATGCGTGTGTGTATAGAATACAATTTTCGGCGGTCGTACATCGTCGTTGTTTGACATTGAAACTCGGTTCATTAATCAATCGACTTGGGTATTCTCTTGGCAAGGTTGCAGCCGATTTCGCCAACATTTGTTAAGGATTTAACTTATTGCTAATTATATTTGACAATTAGTTAGTGAGAATTGAGTTTTGACTGTAAAATTATACTGTTATCACTTATCAGTTATCAGTTATTTCGTGATAACTGATAACCAATGAGAACGTTGGAATCGAGGTAACCGCTTTGGTAACCCAAGTAACATTTTGTTAACTTAACAAACAGAATTTAACAATAATAATGTTGTTGCGAGAAACTTACTAAAATATTTAACCAGATGTGAAATTCAAACGAATTGTTAACTAACGTTATGTTGGTGTAATAATAATAATAAAATCCACTCTCGGTTTCGCCCAAAATGCGCTTGTCGTCGTTGTTGATAATAATGTTACGGTAAAATTGATAAGAAAAATAATCGACCCATAAACACGAGACATACATTAATCGATCACGTGTTGTAGTCACTCGTTATCGTTGCTGGACAGTTTATAATATGTACTATATAAAATAGTTAAGGCTAGCAATCGGAAGACTTTTTGATGTACAACGTAATATCACCTAATAATATAAAATATGACAGAAAATAAAAACACAAGTGTTAATCAATACGGCGGCGGCCAAAGTGTTGTTTTGGAGTCGTTTCAAAGTGTGTTCGACAACCGATTTGATGGATGCAATAATACAAATTTTCCCCTCCGAAGCTCAGCTCCCATCCGCGATTGTCGTCGGTTTTTTTTTATGTCGACTTATTATTATTATTATTAATATTTATTTTTTAGGCCTAGTCAACGACGCGTAGTCCATTAGTGATAATAAAATACTTCGGACAGTATAGCAAAAAAAAAAAAATCACCTGTACCATGTTTTAGTTTTTTGTCACGTTCTCTCGTTGAAATAAACGACCATTTTTTTTACCGTGGGACATGCTTTTTAGCCTTGGCCTCCCAGCTCGAAAACGACACAAAATAGCGTCACGAAAGTAGCGCGCCTACAGGCTAAAGCATGTTCCGTGTTTTATAACTTAAGTCGTTAAGGCTTTAAGTAGGCTGTTATTTTTTTTACTTTTTTTCTTGTATGAGATTTAATTCCGTAACTTGTTTACATAGATACATAGGTACGTTTTGCATCAATTTAAAAAATGTTGTGATGTTCAACAATTTGCGTATCTGACTAGAGGTAAAAATATATGTTATTTAAGTAGAGGCCGGAATAATAATCTCTTAAAATAGTCAAAATAAGGTTCTAATATTTTCTTAAAAAGTTGACAATATTCTTTAAAAATCGTAGTAAAATATGCTTTATTTATTTATTTACTTTTACATAGATTCTCTTAAATTCAAAATATGCTATTATATGAAGAAAAAAAAATGTTTAGATACCTCAAAGGTATTCCAACTGATGTTTAAAGGTCACTCAATAAGATACAATTTAATAATTTACTAAAATAATTTTTTCTTTTTTTCGCCAAAAAGTGGAAAATTTTACAAAATAAAAAATTTAATAGTATATTTTATTTACAGTACTAAAGACCACGTGACCCACAAATCTATATAAACAATATAGATTGCATGAATTGTTCATAAAAAAATTCGGTTTTTTAATTTAAAATTTTTGAATCTGTATGAAAATGGTTTGGTCAGGTTAAAGATAAGATCATGTTCGCGTAGGTTATAATTTCAAAAAAAAAAAAAAAACAACCAACCGTTACTTTTGCTTGACTTAAACTTATCAATCACGTTATCTTATTAATAACATACTGTTAGTGTTGTTGTGGTCCGATGGTTGGTTTTCCGGCGACAGCCGACCGACTCGGTGTGAACGATACGCGTTAAATAATATACAATTATATGAAACTAATTAAATGACATCATATGTCATATAATATGATAATATATACGCGTATATAGATGTTCGATGCTAATAATAAAAATAAACACGAGAACAAACGTTTACGTCGGTCTAGGCGAAAACTGTGTCGTCCGGCCGACGCGCGTCACGTTGTTGTCGCCGCCGCCGCAGCGTCCCGTCGACGACGACCCACACAGGTGTGCTGCTTTGTGCGTGTACTTTCACGCGCGGCGGCCGTCGGCGGTGCCCGAAACGGGTGGTGTCCGCCGCAGCCGCCGCCGCTGTCATGTTGGCCGTCCACCAAGACATCTGTATTGCTGTTGTTGTGTGAATCGCGCGCGCTATTATATTATTATTATAAGATACGGAAAGGAAAGAAGAAGAAGATGATCGCTCTACCAGACACGGACTCCGCAGTCCGCCGACGTCAACCGTCCGACTGAGACCGCTCGCTCTTGCGCGTTTATTTGTTCGTACGTCGTCGTTCGGTCGTTTAATTAAAAAAAATATATTTTGTTATTATCGTCGGTAGGGTTTTTTATTTGTTTTATTAGTGTTTTTAAACTTTCGGTGTCGTCGCCGCCTCTTGACGTGCCCGCGCGCGTGTGTGCGTGCTCGCGCGCGAGCCTTGATTTCCTTGATTGCGCGACATGGGCTTTTGGACGAGCAGCAGCAGCAGCAGTGGCGATTCTTCGGACTCGTCTTCGACCGACGGCGGCGGGGCGTCGGCGGGCGGCGAGTCGGACGATTCCGGTCGGTTGAGCCGCTGGAGCCGGAAAATCCGTTCGTTCCGGCACAAAAAGTCCAAGCGCGCCGCCGACGGCACGGACCGCCGGCACTCGGAGTGCCACAACCGTCGTAAGGTGTCCGCCGCCGCCGCCGCCGCTGTCGAGACCACCGAGACCACGACGTCCAAGACGACGACAACAACAACAACGAAAGTCGTGTCCGCCAACAGTAACAATAATATCGCCCTACCCGTCACAGGTATTTGACCTAAAAAGTCCTACTGTCACAGGAGTTGACTTGAAAAGGTTTTGGGTCAACTCGAGATTAACATCTGGCAGTTAGATTAGAGGTTAGGCGTTGGTCATGGAATATAAGAAATCCAAAAGCGAATTGAACAGCTGGTCCCAGTGTACAGAGACTCTTGGCAATCGTGTGTTTTATGGGTACGCTTAAACTCTATAAAATTCATACTTTTGAGTGTTAGTACTTGTACTCCATTATTAGACTTATACCGTCGTCCAAGTCCCAAAGTGTCTACACCGAGGAAAGACTTAATTGAAGATTTTTACTTAGAATAATATTTTCCCCCCGAGAAGGACACGCGGGGAGGGAAAGGGATGGGATGCACACTTAATCAGCTGATAAGAATTAAGATACAGAAAATCGGTCTGTTAACAACACATGTTCCAATGGACAATGTGTTTTCTTCGAAGGAAAAATGTACTGTTTTTCCAAAAGGTTTCAATATATATATATATATCGTTTTCTAATAATTTAAAAACGACGGACGGGTGTGTGACTTTCCAAAACGTCTGTGTTTTCAACATTTTGGTAGAGCAACAAAAAAAAAATGTCTCTGACCTATCAGCCGGGGTGGTGTGCAAATCGAGTGTGTTGCAATGGTTTTTGTTTTTTCTGGGCCCTCAATTCGGATGCCGCATAGCCGAGAACGGATGCCAACAATTTGCTAACCGCAACTTTTGACTCCCTCCCCGACCTTCTCCTCTCCTCGTCGCCCCTTTCAGACTTGTAATATACCAATCGTTTGTTGCAATCAACCGCCGCCTATCGCATTACTATACTTTGTGCGTTCGAATCTCATATAATATACACAATATACTACCGTATTGCCGTCGAACCGCGAAAGTCTGTCTGTGTGTGTGTGTTTATTTAAGTTTTCGTCTAAGTGTTTTAATTTTCGAAACCCACGCCACGCCCTGATAGGGATATCAATAATAATCGCATCGTTTAGAACATGCCCCACGACGACAGATTGCCTCTTCTCGACAGAGCTAGTGAGTTCAATAAAAAAATTAATAATAATCATTATTACAATAAAAACGAAATCGTCAAATAAGATTTAAACTAAAACAGTGTCTTCGGTTGTTTTTATTAAACAATCGTACTACAAACTCTACTTAGAGCTACAAATGTATCGACTACTATTTCCAATTTGTTTTCAATCAGACTATCGCAGCATTATGAATTGTAAGGATTTTCCTAAAAAAAAAAAATGCTTTTACCGGTACAGCAATTCAGGTGGAAAATCCGTTCTTAGATTATGGAAAACAATTAAAGAAGAGTTTTTTTTAAATAATTTGTTTCTATTTTTCAACAATTGTCAATAACCTCACAGCTTAGTCGACAGAATTTATTTGTGATTTCTGAAGGTTTCTTTGCTCGTTTCGAATCGCATCCGTTTGCTAGCAAATATATATACATACAATAATTATAATTACCAGCAATTTCCGGCTTCGTCGTTTCCGAAGAAGGGGTGTGGTTAGCGGGAGGAAGACGGACACAAATAACCCTTTCCTCCTCTCGGCCTTCCTGTATCTCTGGTAGTTAGCGACAAATTGATTTTAAATCGATCTAACCAGACGCCCCAAGTATTCGTTTATTTATTTTTTTTTTAATCTAGGACGAGTGCGTTTTTTATTTTTATTTTTTCTACACTGTTAAAAAATTCCTCATTATACATAAATTACATACTATTATATATGCACACAAACCGTTAAATTATTAACGGTCGTCCTATACTACTCGGCCACGGCTATTATACGAAGACAGCGTGTCATAAAATACAAATAAAAAAATGATAAAAAAAAAGTGTCATTTGAAATTTGACGGACAATGACACGGTTGTTTTTCGACGTTATGATACCACACCGCCTTAGCCGTTGTGTGCGCTTATAATGTGCTGCCAATTTTATTAATATTTCATTTTTTTTGCCCATTCGTATGCTTTCCGACTTTTCAAGTCATATTCGTTCTGAAAATGTGGCATTCCTATAAAAATGCCCGTATAAATTATAATTATATATTCCGTGAACTGCTGTATAATCCTGTTGGTGTTAATTTTTTTTTTTACAATACTTTTATGGACAATTGAATTGGATTTGACAGTTGGTAACACTGTTAACTGAAAAATAATCAAATATCGACCGCCGCCATTGTGTTGTTTTTATTAGAAAACATTCTTCTGGTAAACAAAACAAATAAATTCTTGTCAAAAAAAAAAAGTGTCATACAACTACTCATTTTAAACGCAATTTGTAGAAAAAAAAATGTTGCAATAAATAATATTTTTTCGAAAAAATTATTGAAAAATCCAAACACAACTGGGAAAATCAATAAAAACCGAAAAGCTTAGAATTATTTAAATTTTGTTCAATTCTTTCGATTCCATCTACTTGACTTACATATTTTCTTCGTTTTAACCGTGACGGTTTTTAGTGTACTATCATTTTTTTGTGTTGTTGTTTTTTGGTTTTTCGTGCAATATTTCTATTTGGGCATTTGTTTTTCACTGTTGTATTTTTTTTTTCAAGGTTTAAAAATAGTAGCCGTTTTTTACGGTTTACGGGTTCGGTAAATTTTTAAAATCCAGTTCAAAGTTTCTCCGATTCAAAAACACCGCGTCTTGGGATGGAAGGCAATATTTTTTTATTTACCAAAATATTCTGCGTGTACTGCGCGGTTTTTTTTTTATTCTTTTTTTATGTCATTTATTTGGGCAAAGTCTTGTTGATTCTCAAATCTGCTTTCGTGCGCAAATATTAAAAAGAATTGCTATATAAAAAAAAAAAAACCCTCGCCCGATGTGTCTGTTCGCTGTGATATTAAATAAAATGTTTGTATAGATATACGTTTAATATCAAATATATATATATTTAATATCACTCTGATAACCTCGAACCTTTTCCGGGGTTTTTCGATCGGGTCGCCGAGAAATGCCCGAAAGTATTAAATCATTCGTGTGTATTATTAAAAAATATATTATTATTAAAAACGAATTAGTAGTGTTGACGGAATCCATTGTATAGTATTATTATTATTATTATTGTTGTGGTGTCGCCTATACCCGTGTACGAAGGCCGCCAGCTCGGGATTAGCCTCCTAACCTGAACGCCGTTCTCCTCTACTGTACTTAAACCCCTGGGACTTGTCTATAATAATATTGTTACCGTGTGCGCTGCACCGTGTTGATATTGTACTTGTTATCTTTTGTGTGCGGTCCTCGAGGTTGAATCCTTCGATTTTTTTAGAATATAATATATTTTATATTGTACCAGCTCGGCATCGCATGATGTGTTTTATTCGCCGTGTGTTCCCTTTGCGCCTTTCCCTTGCCGAAGCCTGCCAGCATTATAATATAGTATATATACTTAGGGCATCAATCATTCTTGCCGGTCGACACCGCCGCTATTATGATAATAGTAATAATAATATTATGTATCGCGCAGGAGGAGCTTTTCTAAACCGCCCCCTCCCCTTCGAGAAAAGCTCCTACCCTCTCCTTCGAACACCACAGATGGGGGGGGGGTTACCTATACTCTTTATTTTTCCTATTATCTATCGCTCAACCAATATCTTAAAGCACCCCCCCCCGAGTGTGTGCGTGTGTATCCCACGGCGATTAGAGGTCTTCTTTGTAATTTCTATAATTTATTAGCAACCCGTCGTCGTCGTGCATCTTCTATGATATTAATATGGGCTTTTGCGCTGTTCGAATATTACATAGGTTTGGTTAGACTTGGAACGGTAACCTAATCTAAACTTCATCATTCTTATCACTTGCATAACCGATTTATTATAGTCGTAAAAGTGTCTTATAATGTGTATAAAAGTGTAAAATAGTCAGTGTCATACAAATAAAATAACAGGCTAACTTAGCCGACTAAGAGCATGGCGGCAGAGGCTTCACCCTGAAAACAGAAGTTTGCCGTCTTGTATCATACATTTCTTATCATCATCGAGTATTTTCTTATCAATCGCCATTTTCATCATTATCCTATCAGTAGGAGGTAGACAAACTTAAAATGTAACACGGTAGATATACTTATCACTAAAAAACGTGGCGGCCATCCTAAAAAAATATATTATCAATCGGTATAATAATTAATTTTAGGATAACTGAGAAGACGGTAGACTCCGTTAGATTATCATTGTTTCCATTAAGACGAATCCTCTCCGATTTAATGTATCTGTGATAACACTTATCAGCTGAATTCTCCTTATCAATTACTGTTCTTATCACTTCTTGTCGACTATGTCAAAAGCACAGCACGTTCCGTTAAAAAACATACACAGCAACAACTATTTTTACAACATTTTTTTCTTCTTTAGTATTCACAAATTGCGTTTAACGGTTTCCACGTTCTGTATAAGTATGATAATATCTGTTCACTCACGTCGTTGACGGGTGTCGCACGATGGTTATCAGCCGGTAGAGGCGTTTAGAACCTTTTGATCGGTTATAATATTATTAGGTGATATTAGTGTTTAACGGTAAAACGAGCCAGGGACTTGTGTGGGTGGGCAGGGAATGAATGGGGAGGGTATAGACATGAAGAGGAAAAGAGAAATACGGTTGCTGGTTTCGCGTGTGTTATTTTTGACACAGGTCACCGTTCGTCGCACTTGTTTTGCATATAACACTATTATTAATATTATTATTATATATTATGCTATTACTGTATATTATCGTGTGGCGATTTTGGCCGGTAGTCGTTTAACGCGCACGGTTAATAAACGAGAATTTACATAATAATAGCAATACTCACACAATATGGTTTATAATATACCGAAACGGCGACGGAGCAGACTTGCCGTCGCCAAAAAAGAAGGTACGGTCGATCCGTTAAAATGAGTAATATTTTATTTTATGTGTGCAGCAACATTAGATAAACGTCGTTTTTAGACGGTAGTGATAACACTTCATATTTTGGCTTAGGGATAGGTACGTTGATTAATTAAATAAACAACATAACACTCTCAACTGTGGCGTGACCCTATTTTTTAAATTTATCATCAGCAGGGTCGATTTTGATTTGGCGTTTAATCAAACGTATTGTGAACCAAGTTTTTTTTATGCAAAAATTGTATTTATTATTATTGAATACAACCGCCGAGTTGTCTAAACGCCAACGGCCGACTCTTTCGATAATTATATGTATACTTATACATTTTTCCCGTTGGCTTTTTAAGCGCCTCTATTGTATTTCGCGCGAGTCTCGCCTCGGTTAAAGTTACATACGTGTACATAATATAGATATATAGAAATAATACAAAGAAAACGTATCCAGCTAATGTGAATACATGCATAGAAAATGCTCTGGAGTTACTACAACCACGACGTTTGTCAATATGATTGACAATTGAACTTCGTTTTTGCGGTAAGGCTAATTTTAAAATTAAACAAGTGCCAAAATTACCATCAGCTGATAAGAAAGATTTGATAAGAAAGTGATGTGATAAGAAAACGTTATCACGTTTTAAAAATACTGTACATGCGATTCTTTTAACTTCAACACGCGGTATTGGCGACAATATTATCTATAATAATAATTTTGTTACCCTTTTTGACCTCGGCCTTCTGCCCCTTATTGCGCTTAGCTGTTCATAATAATAATATTATAACTACACAAGTAAGTATAAGTGTACACGCTCCCGACGACCTCGAAGGGGTCCCACTGTAATGCTCTAACGGGTACAATAAAAATATCGTATGTTATATAATAACCGTAATGGTTCAGATATCTTCGAAGTCACGGCAATATTATAGTATTATTATGATTATATATGTCGTTGGGTTAAATAAAACGGTTTTTATTACGCAAAAGTATATTTTTAGTGCAAACTGGAAAGTATTAATAATAAAAATCGCAATAACATACATTGCCACGTGGCACGCACAGCGCAATGACGCATTACTGGTTAGGTTTTTATTTATATTTATGGTTTTTTGATTTATATAAAACATTTTAAGAAAAATGTAAAAAAAAAAATTTCGGCAGAGAACCTCGTGACAGAACTTGACGGTCAGATACTTGGGAGATTTGCTTGGATATGAAGTCTTCGAGTTGTTTATTTAGGCCAAGAGCAAACACAAAAAAAATATGCTAGTGATAAGGATAAATTGCCTGATAACACAGACATGTTTTAAAAGACTAATTTCGGATTTGAGAAAAATTCTATTGAAAATAAAATCTGTTCTACGAGTAAAAGATATTTGAAAATTTTCGCAATTTTCACTAAGATCTATGACGAGATAACTGTCTTAACTAAATCACTCAAAACGCAAAGAACGTTTCTCAGTATTTTTCGAGCTAGCTTGACAGCTCTTATTACAATCCATGAGAGCTTCAACGCATTCACCTTTTTTTTTTTTTTTTTAGTACAAAATGTTTTTCTTAATATTACTATAACCAACTGTTTTTTTACTCCTTATTTTAGTGTTATAACTATAAAATGTTTTTTTCTCCGTCGGTGGTGTCATTTTGAAAATCACACCAACCATATACAGGGTGATACACTAACTATGAACCAGTCAATATGTCATAAGATATTAGACTTTTTTTAATTATTCATTTTTATAGTTAATTGTTCACCTTGTTTTAGTTTATTTTTCAAAAATAAAACATAAAAGGTAACACATGCTCTATTGTACAAACATTTTAAATTAAGAGTAATTAGCTGAACATTTGGACGTTTACTTTTAAAGTTAATACATTTTAAAATTTACCGTTCAGAAATCTTAAGTTCATACGGTTTTAATAAACAAAAGGGATGGGGTTTTATAATTGAAAAATATATTTAAAATCTGGGCTAAATAACAGGTAACTGTAAAAATATAAGAATGAATAGTTCAAAAAAAAAAAATTCTATTATCTATTAAGTTGGTGAATCACCCTGTTTAAATGCTGTCGCTTAACCGCGATAGAGCAGGCCTTCTTTCAAATGTGTTGATTAAAAAACTGCGTTTGTTTTTTTTTTTTGTTAACACGACTGAATCGTAATAACAACAACATTATCTTTTATTTTTATTTTTTATATTTTATATTTTGCCTGTGTGCCATGTGCTCGCTCGCTGATATTTTATGTAATTGTGTGTAAATATATTTATATATATTTAACCTGATTAGATTAAACACACATACCATACCGGAATGTGTAGTGTCCGGTTTTTATTTCGGTTCTGTTTAGAGCAGCGCACACACAGTTGATATCGAGGTGTATTAAGTCGATTATTGTTGTTTAGACCGGTCAAGGTTTTTTTCCCGCCATGATCATGCTAGGAGGGCAAACGTTAATACTGCGAACGATAATAATAAATAAAAGTATGATAATAAATTTAAATAAAAAAATCGCATCTAAGCTAAAAATAAAAAAAACGAAAACCCGGTATTCGACGAAACTTCTTGACTACTTGGATACTTCTTGTTGACTAGATCACACACTGACCTTTGGTTGTATGATTTCAGAAACGACCGGAGAATGCGAAAACGCCATTTGCAACAACTCGCCGGTGACGAAGAGGAGAGTTTTCAGCGGGTAAGTCCACACACTAGTTATACTTATATTTGTACACACTGCAATTTTTCTATTTATTCTTTATTCAATTTCGAAAAAAATATATCCCACTAGGACTTGTGTACGGCCGAGGCCCATAAAAAACATTAGAACATGTCCGTTTATAATTTATTTATATTCTCTTGAAACACCATAAAGGACATTCGATAAATCTAAAAAAATATGCAAACTACATTTTATGCGTTTTACATTTTGTTATGGTTGTACATTTTTCTTTTGGTAACAAAATAAAAGGCACAACGCTCTGCGTACAATTGATAACGACTTGTGACGAAATGTAATTTACACAAACAACTGATAATGTTAAACAGAAATAATTCAACAACGACTAAGTATAAAAAAATAAAATTCTCAACTGGCTTTATATATATATATATTTTTTTTATATTAAATGTAATTATAAAAAAGTTATTAAATGTGTTTCCTGCACACAATTCACAAAATATTGTCCTAAATACTTTGATTGCGACAAAATTGCTTAACTTTAAACTTCCATTTTTATTGGAGAAAAAACGGGGCGTTTTCTTTTTAAACAATATTTTTTTTTAGTCAATTCCGGTGAATTTTTAACTTTTTGAGTTCAGTAGACTTTTCATTATACTTTTAACGTTTGTAAATACATTTTTGAAAAATCTAATGAGGTTGGCTCGAAAACTATATGAAAGTTGATGTTTTTAAAAACGTTAGAAGAAAAAAAATGTTGGCATAATTTTTTTTTTGTCTAGACCTTTTTTACTTACTCTGAACAGCTGCGTTGGCTTGAGATTTATATTAGAAATATTAGCGACAACCCGTTTATAGTGACGACGACGATAAACGCCAAACTATGATTTAATTTACAAGCAGTTAAAAAATTATATTAAAACCGATTGGATGAGTCACGCCGTGTGTTTTATTTGTGCTATCTTTTTCATGAATGAAATGTCTATCTAAAAAAAGAAAAAATGTGCAAAACGGTCATAGTAAACTATCGCCGCTTTCGTCAACATATTATTGCTATTTTATCAAACAAAATAATTGTCCTCATAAAAAAATATATTTATTTATATAATATAACCTTGACGGCAAAATGTAGAAAATTGCTATTTTAAAAATATCCTGAAAATGTATTGTATCGGTCATAAACGGTTTCAAAACAATATTTTAGAAAATATCACTTTTTTTTGCTGTATTTTCTATTATGTAGTTAACGAAGAAAATAATTAATAAACAATAATCGTTGTCCGTACAATGATATTGCATTTTGTGACCAAAACGTTGGAAAGTCATCCATAAATCATCCGTGCATGGGTTTAACGTCTAATTATTGTGTTTTACACGTTAACTATTATTATAATATGATTTATTTGTTGGAAAAACAATATGTCGCGTTATATATAATGTTCAACACGGTAATTAGTATAATAGGCGCTTATTGAGCTTGCAAGTATTAATTAGGTACAATGCAAATGACCACTAGCCTCCTGTTAGGGTATAATCCATCAACGCGCAATGGCTGTGATAATTATTTTTCTTGATGGTTTTACCCCGTTATTATAGGCTTTTTATAGTGGAAAATTTTCAATTTCCCAAATTATAGGTTTGGTTGGTTTTGTTAGGTTATGTTTGATAAGGTTTTTGATTCAGGTTATTTTTGGTTAGAATAAATCAGACCCTAAGGGAGTTGTGATCCATCAAACACAAGACGTTTATTTTCTCTTAAAATAATTACAATTTTGAATTTTTTTTCTTTTTAAAAATATTTGTATTTGTATGTTGCTGTACAATAGTATAACATTTCCATAAATTTACCTTTTGCAGTATTCTCTGTTAACAGTTTAATCTTAAACGGTAACTTGTATATTTAATTAACTTTTTAAAAGAAGAAGAATTTGCTGAAATGTTGACTGTTGAATAGGTAGTTTTGAATAATTGTATTTAAAGTCATTGAAGTTTAAATTTAAGGACAGTAGGTAGGGTGGAGTGAAGTATTGATACCTGTGGGCATTTCTCAACTGCACTCTGCCTCTCGTCCTAAACGTTATTAAGGTTAAAAGTAATAATTCAAAACTGGTAATGGACCGGTTTATATTTTCAGCAAATCATTCTAAGTTAAGTAAATACATACATCACCATTAAAATTCGAATTTTATAATTTACTTAATTACTAACAAAGGTAAATTTTAGGTAGTTTTCTAATATTGTACAATAACATAAAAGTTTTCAAAAAGTAAAACTATAAAATTGTTTTTATAGTTTTTAAAATTTGTCATAAAAATGAATATGGCTTATGTAAATGGATCACTTGTTATACTAATCCAGTGTTTAGTAACTAAACACTAAATGATATAATATGCATAATTTACTGCAGTTACACGTCAGATTTACCATTAGCCTTTTTCAAAGTATAATTATGTTTGTGCATGGAAGGAACCTCGCAAGTGTAAGTATAATGGAAAACTTGAATAAACTTATACCGGCCGTTACAACAAAATATTATACTTACTGTATACAATCTAGGTAGGTAGGTTAGGTTAGGTTAGGTTAGGTTATTATTTATTTATTAGTTAAACAAATAGGTCGGAATTTTAATGATAAATAAAACAAGTTAAAGGCGGTTGTTCAAGTTTTTGACAATACCAAATGGCGTTTTTATTGTGTTTTTAATCTTGAACAATCGTCACGCAGACCTTATCCCTCTGGCGGTGGTGGCCTAACGTTATTGCGTGTGCTTCTTAAACGACGATGGCCGGCCAAGTTTCCTTATAGGGTTCGATATTTGTTCACCTCCGGGCTATTAACATAATATATTATTATATGTACATAAGAGGTATATTATTGTGCTGTTTACGGTGCCGATATTATGAGCGCGATAATTATAATATTAAAACGAGCGGCCATTTTATAGTTTGTATTTCGCCGCCATATCCGCGAGAAGCCTCCCGTCGACTGGTCGTCGATCGCCGGTTTTGCTTAGCTTTTTTAAGAAAATATTTTTTAAAAAACAACGACTTGAATTTCTTTCACAGGAGAATGTGGATACCGACTCCTCTGAGAAAGTTCAGCACCGGCAGCAAAGTGGACAAGAACCACGTGCAATCGTCGTCGTCGGCCAAGAAGAATTCGGATAAGAAATTCAAAGTGAGTGTTTTTTTTTTTTTAAATAATAAATTAGTCGTGTCAAAACACGGTTTTCCAAATATTTTTAAAAACTATTCGAAAAAAAACCATAAAAGTCATTTTTTTTTTTCAAAATTATATTGGCATAACATTAGTTTTTGCAAACTGAATTTTTAAACATTCTCAAACATCATTTCCTTAGATTAAAAAAGCGTCGTTTCTGGTTTTTATCCCTGTATACTTACTTTGATTAATATTGACACAAATTTTTAAAACTTAAGTATTTTTTACTTAGAGGGGGGGGGGGAGGAGAGTAAGTTGGGAATATTTCCATAATTTAATATTGAAACTTTTTTGTAACAGCATCGACCGTTTCCAAATACATCAAAAGGTTTTAAGATTCATAAACTATTATATTGCGAGCGCTTTATCTTTCAAACTTAATGACACAAAAAATGTTTAGAACCGTTTATACGATAATAAATTGTTAGGTCAGGTTCAAAACGGATTAGTTTCCAACGTTTTAATTCATTCGTAAACGTTGTGTAAACGTTCTGGGTCGCATTAGAACTTCATTAACGGTTTATAGAACCATTTGAGCCGTGTGCAATCCGCTACCAGTAATAATAAATATCTGGGCCAAAAAAAAAAAAATAATAATTTAAAATTATGTGAGGCGGAAAGTGAAGGGACCTCTCGTCTTGTGAGAATCTTAATCGCAAGCGAGGCCAACTCTTCGATCAGGGTTGGTAACATATTTAAGAAAAAAACATTATGTTTTGTGACAATTTTTGGTTAAGTTTTATTCCTCGAGCGTGTAAAATAAAAAGGTTGGCAACATTTCAAAACTTCAAAGCGTTCAATACTCTCAAAAAACACATTTTCCGATGATAAATTCAAACAAATATAACTCGGCCAATTATCAAGATAAGATTTTCCTATCAAATTGTTCAGAATTTAGTGCCAAATTTGGAATAATAACCAATAACTCAAAATTTGATTTTTGCGACAAGAGGTCCTTTTATGCCCCACATACATAATATATTAAACTTACCACATATTAAAACTTTGAACATGAGTATGTTTTGTGTTTAGTTCAAAACTTTTCAGCAAGATCGAAATCTGACCTTTAACATTTTGGCAGACGACGTGCCATGTTATCACCTCGTCGTTACCTGTTATCAATTATCCTTACCACTCGTTACCTCTTATCAACCCTCAACCAGACAAGAGATAAGGTATCTCTTATCACTTCTTTTATCGTTCATCCTTGTTGTAAAATATCAGGTGAACCGTGGTGTAAATTGTTTAGTTAAGATTATTACGATATTGTGTTACTCCGCGAAGAGAAAGAAATTTCTCTCGCGATTTTTAAGTAGTAATTCGTATAATAATTTGCATCTGTTGTTGTCCGCACAGTCGCCGGTAAGCGAAGTGACGAAATCCGTTCCGGTCGAAGATGAACAAAACGGCGACGAACCCGACGACGAACTGGAATTACCTCCTCCAATGAAGCCCAGTCGAATTTCCGAATCTATCCTGGTGAACGCCGACACGGCCAACGTGGCCTCGCAGAGGGTGAGTTTTTACTTATAATAACATAATATAACCTTTGACCGCCATTCGGTGGGGGGGGGGGGATTTCGATTAAGTCGAAAATAACCGACACCTTAAAATTTTGACAGTTCATAATATTAGGATTGACCATATCCGAATGTTTTTTTTTTAACCAACCGAATATTATTTAAGAAAAAAAAATTACATAATTTTATCTATCTGTATGAGAGCTAATGCGTTTTTTTCTTCTTCAAATCAAATCCTTCCATTGGTGCTCATACGAATGGATATAAGATATTCTCAAGTTAAAAAAAAAAAAAAAAAAGTTGGTCAGTTAAACGTAATTATTAAGGATATGGGCGAAATATGTATTTTTTAGCTCTAATTTTATAACATTTTTATTATGTATATTTTTTAGACCGACCTTAACCAATTTTTTTTGTTTACCCAAGTATATTTAATTTAAGAGATAAAAAAAAAAGAAAATTTTAAACTAGAGGTGAATCAAAGCTATTTAGTCCATTCGTATAAAACTTGTGGAAGTGTTATGTTTTTTTCTTTTGACTATATCTTTTTCAATTTTGAAGTTACAATATACGAATTGGAATATTTGGAAAGATGACAAAAAAAAAAACCTTAAAAAAAGTATATTATGAGAAAAATATTTGATTTATTATTGGTTTAATGACCAAGTTGTTTACTAACAAGTTAACTTAACAATATTTTTATTTTTAAATGAACATTTAAGTAGTGGTATCAAATACTTTCCTCGTATATCTTTTTTTTTATGTATTTTCCATCGTCCTTCCAACAAGGTCACTCCTAATGTTGTAGCTTCAAAACTGAAAAACACACGGTAAAAAATTAAAAAATTAATCAATTTCACACGTGTTATCCCAAATGGATAAGACAAAATAGCTGCTTTGAGTCACCTTTAAAAATATTATCCGATCAGATTCGAATTTTGACATTAAAGAGAGATGGTTTGGGTAAACAAAAAACAATTTTTTTCGGGTTGGTCTAATAATATATTTTACTGTAAAATCAATTAAAAATAAATACCTGAATTGATTTGTGTGTGTGTTGTTCTCTGCCACAGACTTCGGCTCTTTCGGCAGAGGTGAACACCTCTTCCACGGCCGACCTGGCCGAAATCGAACAGATCGTCAAAGAGAGAATGGTGATTTTTGTTTATCAGAGTTGGCTTGTTTTATAATATCTTCGATTTTTTTTTTCACAGTCGTTTAGCTGTTTTTTTTAATGGTTTTTTCCGTAGACTAGATTTTGATAGTGTGATATTTTGTGTAGTTGTTGTGCACGTGGCTTGCGATCAGGAGACATATTTTTTAAAAAAGCATTAAAAAAAAAATGAGATATCATTTCAAAATTGGTTTATTTTTGTTAATCCGTTCAAATAGAAATGTATTTGAATTATTGTTCAAATCAAAATACAATTATTGTTTATTTATTATTTGAGTTTTTATCAAAACATTATTATACTTAACTATTTGATTTTTTTTTTTAATTTAAATAACGCCCGGATATTTTGAAACAATATTTAAATGAAAGTTGGAATAATCAAATCAAATAAATATTTATTTAAAATAACTAAAAAAATATTTTTAATAAAAATGTATTTATATATAAATAAAAATAAATGATTACAAATAACATTTTGTAACATTAAATACAAATGTGTTTGAAATAAAATTATTTTCAAATTATTACTTGTTATTGGACATTTAATTTGAAGAAATTATTATAGAAAATAATAACGCATTTAAATTAACAAATAAAATAAATTTTTAATATAAATGTGTCTCTGCTTTTGTGTTTTCTTATAATTTTTTTTTTCCATCATTTTCCAGTCTTTGATAAATATTGACCGATATGTTTTTTCTTGCAGGAACAACACAACGACAAGACGGTCGAGTCGAGGCTGAAGAACGACAACGAATGCGAAGAGGCGCTACACAAACGAGAGTACGTGATGCGTGAGCTGGTGGACACCGAGAGGGACTACGTGCGCGACTTGTCTCTGGTGGTGGAAGGATACATGACTGTGATGCGGGACCCAGCGGCCGCCGGCTGCGACATACCCGTGCCCGAAGACCTGAGGTCCGGCAAAGACAAAATGATCTTCGGCAACATAGAACTAATATACGAATGGCACAAAGAGTACGTGCGAGATTTTCAACCTTACCGGTCTGTTTGTAATGTCATATTGTATGTTAAATTGATTGTACGTTTTCGGTTTATAGCGTGTTCCTGGCGGCCGTCGAAAAGTGTCTAACGCAACCCCACGAACTGGGCAAACTGTTCAAAAAGTACGAACGTAAGCTGTTGATGTACGTCGTCTACTGCCAGAACAAACCAGTATCCGAATACCTCGTGTCGGAGTACGACTACTACTTTGAGGTACAAAAAATCGCCAGGGTCTTGCGTTAAAATATACAATTTATTATTATGTTATTGAATTATATAAACATCAAATGTAGAAAACATGCCGGTTCGGTTTTGTCGCTTTATCGAAGGTCGTAACAATGTTTAAGTCGCTTGTTGCCAACGTCCGTGATGTTTTTTTAAATTGGAAATCTTCAATGTCAATTTGTTTCGAAAAACAAGACGTATAGATCTAATATACGAGTTAATTATTAAAAATATCTCAATTTTATATTTACTCGACTGACGCGATAATAAATGTCTTGACCATATTTTTAACGTATCACTGTGATGACATTTAAAAAAAAATGGTTTAAATATTCACCGTAAAGGTATTAAAATGTTTTAAAAAACCGTCCAGTCGGAAACCGTTGATGCTTTTGACTTTGAACGGTCCCCGACGTTATTAACGGCTCATTTATGACCCTAAAAAAATGTGTTTGCCGTTACTTAATGTGAAAACGATAAACGAAACTAATATGCAATCTTTTTTCAAACGCTTTCTGCTGTAACCTAGAATGATGTGTTAAACTATTTTGCCAAACATGTTGGCATCCTTCCAATTGTGCGAAGAAATTAAATATAAAGTGTAAAAAAAACCATGTTATTTTTGCGTTCTCACCAGAAGAATACTGTACGATTATAATTATTATTGTTTTCGACAAATGTATTTTTAAGTTCGCAGCAGAGTATCGATGATTAACGGCGAGGTTTTTTAATAACTCGATGTTTGTTTTGCTTGCGATTAATTTTTGATCAATTTTTTTTTTTTTTACTTAGGAAATGCGACAGTTCCTGGGTCATAAACTGCAACTCTGCGACATCCTAATAAAACCCGTACAGAGGATTATGAAGTATCAGCTGTTGTTGAGGGACATGTACAAGTACACGGAACGAGCGAGACTCGCCGAAGAGATGGAAGCTCTGCAAATGGCCATGCAAGTCATGAAGGTCGTACCCAAAGCGGCCAACGACATGATGGACGTGGGCAGACTACAGGGATTCGACGTAAGACGACTTTGTATCTATTAAGATGAAGAAACTCCATCCAGTTCCCACCATACAATAGTTATTAATTAATTAGTTGTTGGCTTTTTTAGGGTAAAATAACGGCCCAGGGCAAACTACTGCTGCACGGTCTGCTGATGTGCGCCGAAGGTCCCAGCCCGAACAACAGCCGGTCGGCGGCTAAAGAATTGCACGTGTTCCTGTTCGAACAGAGCATTATTTTCAGCGAGGAAGTAGGCAAGAAGACGCAGTTCACCAATCCCGTGTACGTCTACAAGGCGCACATTCAAGTACGTTAAATATATATATATATTCAAAACAAACAACTGTTGGTATTTTTTTCTTCTTTACTAACTAACATGTGGTCGTTTTTTCCCTCTTTCCCCCCGCAGGTGAATAAAATGAATCTGGAAGAACGGCACGGATCGTCGAGCAGCAATTCGTCGGACGAATCTTCCGAGGGCGCGTTTGTCATCAAGTCGACCGATCCCAGGAAACCGCCGCTGTGGTACGTCTGCCACGCGCACAACCCCGAGTCGCGGTCCGAGTGGCTGCAGAACCTGCGACAGATACTGCAGACGCAACGCGACTTCCTCAAAGCCATACAGTCGCCGATCGCCTACCAAAAAGAACTGACCAAGGAGACCAGCTAGTGTAGAGTATTCCGTTAAGTTAGAAGAACGCGTTAATATAAGAATTTTTCTTAAGTCTGACACTTTGCTGACGAGCCAGTTTGATAATTATTAATTAATAATATTATGTATCGCAAACGACATTCCTATTATACATAATCGTGTTTAGATTTATATCAAATTTGTGTAGAATTAAAAAAAAAAAAAAAAACGCCCCCGTTTTCCCTGTTTACGACAACTATATCGCAGCCAACGCTAAACGAGAAGAGAATCATTTCAAAACGAGGGCTTTTTCCATAATTTATGTATTTTTTTTTTAATTGGAACGAAGTTCCTTATTTATTATTTTTTCGAGCTAAATGTCCGTTTTAAATTTCTCTGGATAGTTAACAACGATTGCGTCGACGAGGCGTAAGAATCCAAACATAAAATAAACTAACAATTTAATTTTTTTTTTTGTTGTTTAAGCGTCTAGTCAAATTTTTATTTAGACTAATTTATATTTTATAACTTTTTTTTTTTTATTATTACTTATTATTATTTAATTAAAACCCTGTGCAGTTTCGTAATTATTAATATTTTATGTAAAGGAGAGAAAATGATATATATATATATATAAATATAAAATATATATTTATGATATTGTATTGTATATTGAAAAAAAAGTAAACTATAGATCGTACTCTGTACAAAAAACGTATACATTTGTCGAAATATCTATGTTTTTTTTTTTTTTTTTACTAGATGAAAACATATAATAATTAATATTAGCTTGTTCGACGGTCGATTGTTTACGATGCGATGCCTTTAAATAGTTTTGGCCGACAAAATACAATACGAGTGATTGAAGTTCGGCAATCGTAGTGTCCGATGCACGAACTCTACATAAACTAAGGTTGTGTATTTCATTTGCGCGTAAACCGTGTTTTATTTGAATTATTATTATTATTATTGAAAATTATATACATTTATTTATTGATATCTTTTCTGCCAAAATTTAAAACATGCACAAACTGTTGATTATAAGTGACGATATAATAATATGACATTACGTTTGTATATAATATATTTGAAGAGCGATAAAATAAAATTGTTGTTTTTTTTACATAATTCCATGTTTGTGGTTTTCTTAATGGTATTGTTTTGTTCCTACGGCCAATTTTATTTTCTCGTTTAAGTTGACGATATTAGTGGACGTTTTCAAAAATGTAATTATTTGTTTTGATGTTGTTTACGCTGTCGTCGTCAACGGGCGTGAACCGGTGATTAAAATACAATAACTTGCAACATAATTATTTCACTTTAATAACTCCCATTTATAATGTTATCTATTCGTCATCGTAATAATACTGATCATTAATTTAAAGTGCAATCATTGTGGACTAACAACGATGGTTTAATACGTTTATTGTCGAACGTCGTTTTTCAAGTAAATCAATTGGATTAATTTACTAAAACAAAAAACGAAATTGAAAATCAAGTTGAATATAATTGAAGTATTTTCACGTTGAATTAAAAAAAAAAAAAGTAAGGAAAAACATTGAAACAATTTTTTTTTTTTTTAATAATACCGAAACGATATTTTACGTTGTAATAATCTATCGAAATATTATCGGTAAGTAAAATATTGTCAGTTAAGTTTTAATTTAAAGGGGCGTAGTGTATGCAAAATAGGTACATGACCGTGCTCGACCAACCGGTTGCCTATGTGTAGTTGTACAATAGTAAATAAATAAATATATATTTTATATCTGAAATTATTAACTTAACATTTCAGTTGTTCGGAAGTTGCAAACATTTGGAGCTGAGAAAAATAATACAATATGGAAAATACAAAATGTCAAAATTTACTTAAGAAAACAGCTTTTTGTAATATTCCTCTTCTTTTTTTTTTCCATTTTAAATATTATGATGTTTATTGAGGAAACCCCGAGTTTACCCAACTAGTAGGTAAATCAGAATAATATTATTGATAAATTTGTGGAGCACTACAGTTTCTCAGTTTCTCGGTGGGGCCATCTTGGTGGATAGCCATCTTGGAAATCTGTAAACAAATTTATTTTCTTTTTAATCAGGAAAACCCCTCGATAAAAAAAAAAGTGGGGAAATTATACTTTGACCGTTGGTCAAAATGCGTTTAGGTTGTAAATGCGTGAGCGAACCGACAGCTGTGTTAACGGGTATCCGAAAAATATTTTCACCGTGTTGTCGATCGTCGAAGCGTTTATTTCAAAGCGACTCGATCACAATAAATTGGGGTTTTGAACAAGCCGCCGTTGACATGATATTATTGTGGCGCAATACTGATTTTTGGCCGTTATTACAGTGTCATCACGGAAGAAGGCACCAGCGACTCTGTTGCACACGGCCCCTTATAACGACGTTTGTATTATACCTATATAATAATAACGTTCACCGCGCATAGCATTGTATTTTTTTACCCAGACACGAGACTGTTGTCGTGACCCAATGGTATTAACCCTCGGACGACGACAATAATTCACCGGTTTGTATCTGTTCAATCGGTCTGTGATGATCATTTTTTAATTTTCAACTAGCAGCAATAGGTGTGTTACTGGGGGGGGGGGGGGCCTTTGAGAACACACATTATCGGGTGTTATGGTGAATTTCTTATCTTGTATAACCCACCGAGTCCGAGACAACAATGTAGACGATTACGTTACAATATGTTGCCCTCAATCTACACACAGTAGCAGTGTGCGGTAGTGTCACGCGAATTACCCGCTTTCGATTGTGTTTACACGCAACAAATGGAACGGAAGAAGAAGAAGAATATGGAGGTTTTTTTTTTTCGTTGTCATTTCCAACAAGCCGCCAGCGACCAAAGGACAACGGTAGAACATCTCGGTCGCCCCCTTCGGTTCGACGTGGCTCTGAAATCGTTACTCGTCGCAGATGACCCAAGCCCAAGGACTCGAATATGAACGAACAAGATCAAGTAAGACCGACTGCGCTTGTGTTGTCAACGTGTGATTAATGTACGAGTAATATAATATATTAGAACGCCCACCGCCGCCGTATCGGTTGCACAGTAGTCGTTTGATGGGAAATAATATTGTCATAATGGAAAAAAAACTTTATATACTTATAAACTGAATACGTTTTGTCGCTGTTCAGTCAATTTGTCGGTACATGTTTTACAATGTCGTACTCGTTTTATGGCTTTTTATTATTATTTGTTAGCGTATAACAATATAAAATCGGTGTACATGCAAATATCGTCGACAACGACTATTCAACCAGATACGCAAAAGTAATATTATGTATTATTATTATTATTATTCACCGGTCTCTAAACTGTTCGACTCGAACAAAATATGCCATTTACTTTTGATGTACAATTTACCGACTGAGCGTGTAACGGAAAAGTATCATTTGGGGTAATAAAAAAAAAATAGTAAAGTTAAAAAAAAATTCAATGCGAGACGAATATGTGGAGTGACTTATAGATCTGGCAGAACAATGCACAGTGAGAAGAAGTTTAAGGACGATGATTTGGCTGATTGACCACATTTGTACGGATTGGATAAAAAAGATGATATACCGAGTGGATTAGGATGAGCTTTTGGTCACAAGTCCAATAATAGTCGGCTTAAAAATAACAGGCACTTTTTTTTTGTTCGGGGTTTTTAAAAATGGGTTTTATGATGAATATCAGTATACTAGGTATTTACTCTATTATAATTTATAATCATCACAATAGCACTTAACCTGGGTAATCTAAGATGTATATTATATTATTTAAACTTTGTATTGTTGTACATTTTAACACTAAACGCAAAGTCAAGAAGGGTATAATAACAACATACTATAGTCACGGCTTGTAACTAAATACAGTGCAATTACACTACAGTAGAACATTTGGTCTCTGGAGGCGGATTATGCTATTGTATTGCAACGATAGCGCAAAACTGTACACCGCATTGTCAATTTTGAATAAATTATTTTTGAGTAGTTATCATCGAGAGTTAAAGGCTAGGAATGTAGTGGTGCGGGTAGAGGACTTGTTGTCTAATATTGTAAACGCTAATATAATGGATTATATTATAATATATATGACAACTTTTTTTTAATAAAAAAACAAGCGGGTTGTCTAATATTAGCCGTATGTTGCCAGGGACGACCCTCTAACAACTGTGTTTGAAAATGATACTTTGTTTGTTTAACTTTTTGTACATAACACAATGATTGTACCTCGATAATTACAATACTATGATATTGATGAAATTAAAAGCCCAGTTTTGATAATGATAGAAATTATTGTTGTGATGACTGATGGGGCTGGAGGTGAGCGGAAATTTAAAAGATTAATTAATATTTCACAAGAATAATAAACGAGCGTTAGTGTAAATTATTTTTATAAATTGTTAGCTGTCAAGAAAATGGGACGTAGTAAAGATTGTAAAAAAACCTCGTTGAAAAAACATTATGGCGAAGAAAGATAAAAAAAAACTTAAACGTTAAACTGTATTTGGTCACTTAAAACTATATTATAGATTTGATTGACAACTTTTTAAAAACGAAAAGAATAATATTGAAGAAAAAAAATATGATTAAATATAAAGATCAATTATAAACATAATATTAGTCCTTGAAAACGAAAAAAGTATTATATTTAAACAAAAATATACTTGGCTTATTTCAGGTAGTACATTTTAGGTTTTGTTGAGTAATGTGTGATGTATTAATAATTATGATATATTTAATGACTGGTATGAAGTGCAATTTTTAAAAAGTCATTTTTGTAAGAATTTAAGTTCCCACGTATAACAATAAATATCTAGTGAACCTCTTCACTTTGCTAACCAATACATTAGAAGTAAAAATTCAATACTGTTGCTGCTAGAAGCGATTTAATAAAATACATAAAACCATAGTATTATATTATACAGGTGATCAACTCATCGTGAACCACTCAATGTCTCACTAGGTTTAATAAGAAATTACATTTTTTCTTTGTGTTTTTATGCAATGTTGTGATCTCAATTTTTCACCATTTTTTTTTTGTTGTTTTACCTTCTCTCAACTTAGACTTTTTGAGTTTTTGTATAAAAACATTATGGAAAACAACATTTTAATTTCTCATTAAATCCTATACGAGATATTCAGTGGCCCATGATAAAACAATGCTCTATTATGTCACCTGTGCGTGGTGCCATCGAGTTAACACGCGAAGGGCACAGGGGAAGAAGGGTAGTAGTCCATTTATGAAATTTTTTTTTTCTTCAAATAGTATTTTTCATTATTTAGATTGTTTAAATATATTTACATAATTTAGTAGAATAACACTTGATGTGATTTTGTCATGTTCCTATGTCATAGGGATAAATAGGGATTCGCGAACTTTGTTTTCGCTATACTCTAAAATTGTCATACATGGACTACTATCCTGCGCCCTTCACATTTGTTGGTAAACAAACATTTACTCGAAAACCCGCATCAACCATTAAACCGTCGATGAATGCAGTATTAATAGTTTGTGCTGACTTTGGGCCGAGTCGCCATGGGAACTGTGCACTTCGAGTGTGATCGGTAAAACACCTTCGGCAAAGGTGTAAAATATAAAGAAGGGCGAGGAGAAACACACACACACACTATTAGATTGGTGTGTGCGGCGAGCCCGTATGATATTATAGTTTCGATCATTAATCACTAAAGTCTTTTACTAAAGCCGTTTGTGCGCAACAAAAGTCTTGACACGGTTAAATAATTACTGTGTTGTGTACTAACAATAGTAACACCCGACCCGATGATGTTGTCGACGGTGTATTACCGTAAAAAACAACGCCGGCACAAAGTCAAGCGACTCAACTCGGAAGCACAGGTTAGTTCTTGTTAAAAGTATTTTCTATGTTTTGTTCGTTTCCGTTGTTGCTCGCAGTTAGCAGCAGTTGTAGAGAGTCTTGAAAAGTATTTTAATTTCACTGCCTACAACGACGACGACGACGATGATAATTACATTGGCCGCCGACTTTGATGTGAACAATAGGCATTACACCATTTAGGCATAGCAACAAAATTATTCACTGTCATCGTAAAACATTGTGCACACACACGGACGTTCGCGTGTCGGTTGAAAAAATATTATACATAAATTATATGAGAATTTTTTTTTTATGCTTTTTAAATGCGACCGTTTGTAATACGATCAACAAAGCTATAAACCGTGGACGGTCTTTGAAACTTTTCGCGGTATTGTATATATATATATATATATATATATGTATATAGTAAGTCGCACATTGACTGAGCTTCTCAGTCGTTCAAAGCACAGCACACAACGACCGTTGCCTTTGTGGCGCACACATATGCTGCTCGCATCGACTGTTTTTATAATAGCTGTTAATTGTACCCAATAAAAAGGCGAATAAAAAACCGGTTTATTTAAAAATGTTTGTCGACGATCAAGAGCTCAAAGACATAGACGTCGATTGGACTTCATTGCCGTTGAGCGAAGCTCTTCAAGTAAGTGTCCGAAGGTGTTCGAACTAAAGTGGAGTCGATGAGTAGTCCAATCCTTACCATATTTTCTTCGTCTAGTACAACTACTTTTTAACATGACCATAATTATAATAATGTTGATTTCAGCGACGCAGGGAAGAATGCGAACGAAAAGCCAGAAGGGGCGAAATGGACCCTCGGCTGGAGTTCACTTTTCAGTTGCTCATCGACAGCACCGGTTTGCCAAGGAATTCCGTGATGGACTATGTGTTCGAATCGAATATGGTAGACAATAACATTGACAGACATGTTTGGGGGTTTTTTTTTTTTTGGATTTAAACCGTCTCTTTGCAGCTGGACCAAATCAACGAACTGTTCTTGCCGCACGGCCGTCCGAAGCTCATGTGGTTCTACCAAGAAGTGGAAATCGACGATTCGGATTCGCTGGAAATGGTAAATGTCATATTGTGTTGCTGCGCTCTAAAACTGTAATGATATTTTGTAAGAATTGCCTCGTTGTTGTTTCAGGTGCAACTAAAACCGTCGACCAGCCGCACGCTTCAGCTACGGCCAAGCTTGGCGGCGAGACCCAAAAAGAAAAAGCTGTTCCTCACCGACGGATGGGAAGTGGGCCTGACCGGTATTTGCATTTACATCATCCGGCTGAACACCACCAAGCAGTTGCCCGAAGAAGGATTTCACAAAGACTTGATATGCGGTACACTGGACGCCGAAAACAAGGGTCTGGTCAAGAGCGTTGCCCGGATCATCGAGTACGTGTTCATACCGGCTTTGGCCATACCTCAGGCGGGCGACGAACTCGGGGACGACCAATCGGATTGCCCTCTGATCAAAAGCCAGCTGCTGCCCGAGCTCCGGTCGTTTTGCAGTTCTCTGAAAGGTAGATCGAGATAATCACCGCGCGCGTGGGTGTCGGTTGAAGGGATTCGGGCGTTAATAACAACCGTGGTCGTGATGGCTTTCAGTGTGCGAAGAAGTGTGCGACCAACCGAACATATTCGCCGACGGGACGAACCTGATAGCGAGAGTGCCCACTTACAAAGAAGCCACGCAATTGGCCACCAACAGGGAAGAGGTGGTAGCCTTGGAGAAGCGCGTGACCAACTGGATCCGGAGAATCCGCGAGGTAATATGTAGAATATAATGACGCTCGGTCGGGATGATCGATTAACGCATCGTCGATCCGTCGTTAGATTTTGCTGGAAGACGAGAAACTGCAGTACGAGAGCGACACCAGCGGGCCGCAAGACGAATTGGAATATTGGAAAAAGAGAGGCGCTCAGTTTTCACAAATAGCCGCCAATCTGGCGTGGGATGAAGTGAGTATTGTGCCAGTCGACGTGACCGAGTTGCTGGATACGGTTATGATTCCTTTCCAGGTGATTATGACCATTTGCTGTTTGCAACGGTCCCGTTCCCGGATGGTGGACCGGTGGCGGCGCACGGACAACCATTTGACGTTGTGCTACAACGAAGCAAAAGACAACTCCAAGTACATCCAGGCGCTGGAGAAATGCTGCCATTCGCTTTACCTGGACAATCCGGTAAAGATGAGAAACTCTTTAGTCCGGATGCTGCAGACCGTACGGCTCATTCACGACGTGTCCATGTTTTACAATACCACCGAAAAAATATCGTCGCTCATGGTCAAAGTGAGCCGGTCGATATAAGCGTCTGTAGGTGTAGCTCCGTTAATGTCCGTGTGGAATTTTTAGATTACCAACCAAATGATCGAGAGCTGCAAACAGCACATCACGAACCGAAACAAAGACACCATCTGGTCGCAAGACCGGACGGTTCTCGTGGCCAAGTTAAACGAATGTATTATGTTGAACCGACTGTACCACAGGACTTACGAGCGGGTGAAACACCACCAAGGGGCGGGCAGGCAGTTTAGTTTTTCGGAAAATTATGTTTTCGGCAAATTCGACTTGTTCTGCAATCGATTAGGTAAAATACTCACGTTGTTCGATACGGTCGACGATTACAACGGGCTGTTCGAGCGAAGGATGGAAGGACTCTTGTTCGGAGAAGGTTTTTGAGACGTGCACGCAGGTAAAAATATGTACTCTGATAATAATAATAATCAATTATACCTGTTTAGCTTTGGACGACGCCGTGAGGACGTTCGAAGAAGCCAAGTTAGTCGTCATGCACAAAGGGTACGACTACTTGGACCAGAAAAACAGAGAGTTCGACCACGACTATAGGACGTTTTTTGTCATGGTCGAATCGCTGAAAGACAGCTTGGCGCACGTCATCGAAACAAACTACAATTCGGTATGGGAAACCGGACAGGGAATAAAGTTTCTTGACAAATTCGAAAAAGTAATTATCTATTAACTATTGTGCCACGAACAAACGATCATCCGTTATTCGGTTATACAGATTTCCACGAAAGTACCGGTGACAAAAATGGACATTAAATACAGTCGGGTGTTAAAGTATTGCGAGAGTCAGATAGACCGAACGCTGAAACTGTTCAAAAAGCGAAAGGGAAACCCTCCGGTGCCTAGGAATTATCCTCCTCTTTCGGGTAATTTTGTCTAAATAATCATCTTGTCGGCTAAATTATTAGTCATCCTGAATGTAGATTATTATTTTTCTTTCAGGGCGTATCGTCTGGGCGAGGTCGTTACGACAACGTTTGAGCTATCTGATGGACGAAGCGACGGGTCATCCGGTTTTGAAAATGATGCCTGAAATGACGGACGTGCAGAAGAAATTTGCCACCATGTCTTCGGCCTTGTCCGATTACGAAGAGGAAATAAAAAATATTTGGATAAATCATAATGTATGTATAATGTTATTATTATAGTACAATGACTATGAAATGTGTTATCATTGTCCAGGTCCGCGTGATCGATTATTGTTTGGAAGAGCATTTGCTGAAATTCAACAGTTCCACCAACATGGTGTATGTGAACTTCGACTCGAGAATGAATTTACTCATATTGGAATCGAGTTGTATGATGAAAATGGAGCTGCCCGTTCCCATTATCACTAAAGCGATATATTTCAAAAAGGACCATTTCACTCTAGTGTGCGACTCGTTACAGGTACTAACTACGATAAAGATTTCCCATGAGATTCCTATGAAGTACTGTGATATATATTTTATTTGCCACGCAGTGCATGTTAAATAGAATGCGGAAAGTGTCGAGTAGCATCAACATGGACGTGAGACCACTTTTTGTTACTCAGCTTGTATGGCTTTTGAACCTCTTGACGCCTGGCCTACAACAACTGGATTGGACTAGTGCCGGATGGAAGACGTTCGTAGACGAAACTAATGCGGCTATATCCAAATTCCAAATTCTGGTCACTAGGTGTGTTCAATATACTTAAACTGTAACTGTATACATTTTTATATTTTTTTCTACTCAAATATAGAGTTCACGACGTTTATAGAAATCGAATACTTCAAGTGCTCTCTTCGATGCACAACATCACACTTTATACGTTTCCAGATGACGACACTACGTGGACCGCAGAAGAATTTTTGGAAAGAACCGACGAAACGTGTCGCTTAGCCTCCATCGTGAGTGTGTGGTCGATTGTATGATTTTTTATTCTTAATTCACACACCCATCTCAATTGTTTTTGTCTATTGCTCATTTCCAATTACCATGCCTCGATACAGCTTATAACTCGATTTTCCTTTCATTATAAGTGGGACATACTCATCTGACATCTTCCTCAATAATTGCTTCATTCGTCTCCTCTATTCCAATAAAATATTGGTTTTTTGAATTTTACAATTTCCCATTTGTATTAATTCCAAGGAGTTAAACCGCAAGAGTATGCTCGTCGAAGAAGCCGTGGAAGAAGTTTTGAATCTCGTCCAACAAGCCAACGAAAAAGTGACTATACCAAAGTTGACGCACGAACCTAGTTTTAAGGGTGTGCCAGGTAACACGTTCAGACCGCGTTATCATTTGAATTATTTACCACATGAATGTAACAACCAGCAGATGCTCAAGGAACGGGCGATACGACAAAACAAGACGGTGTTGACAACCAACAGGATTGGAGCACCGTGTGTGAGTTTTTCGATAATCCATTCGTGTTGGCAGCGTATGAGTTACCTCCGACAGTTTACACGTTGGCCAACAGTGCGGTCAAAGAAATGAGACGCTTCTACAGCCGAAAAGTGGTCGACGTGCTCATTAAGATAACGAGGCATTCGATCGAAGTCTTAAGGAAGAAGTTCGCCCAAGAAGCGGGTAAACGATCGAGCCAACCGTTAACGTCCGTATTGAACAACCGTAGTCGTTATGACAATTTCCAGGAGAGTGTCCCGTTTTCGAAGTCAACGCCATACTGATGATCCCGTCGATCGTCATACGTCCGGACATTGGTGAACTCCAAGAGATGATGGTGCAGGCGGGAAAAATGATGGTAGCCGTAGCTAAAGGGGTCGGCCAATGGTCTGGAAACAAAAAGACAAAGGTACGGTTAAATTTTTGTAGCATAATATTTTATAACTGCAATTTTTTTTCTGTTAAACTACCAATAACATTGCGTTGGAAAAATGTATTAAGCCGTGGTAATTGTTTGTCGGTGTCGTGTCTTTGTGTTGTCCACGTGTTTGTCTTGGTGTGCGCGTCTCGTTTGTGTTTTTCTAACGACAGGTGTTGGCCGAAAAGCATTGGAAACAGTTAGCGAAAGACTGCAGCGTGCGCGGCGAGACTGTATTTTCTAAAAATGTTGTTTCTTCTGATGCGGAACAGAGTCCGGTGGTCGTAGCGCCCGTCCCCGAAGACGGCAGGGCCAAACGCCGGAGACTGTACAAGCTGGCCTCCGAGAAAAGACTCACGGTTCCGGTGTTGCACAGGAATTTTTATTTTCACGTGACGGAAAACAAAGAAATCGTCAAGGCGCTTTCGATGCTTTCCACCTGCGTTCATCCTTTAAAATCGGTACCCACTCTCGGTTATTGTTGTGTAATCACGTTACGTTGCTCATGACTTTCTTCTCGTGACCTGCAGGTCCTCACCGAATTTTTGACCATTTGGGCTCCTTACAAGACGCTGTGGAACAATAACTTGTCGGCAAGGCGAGATTTATCGACGGTCACACTCGTCGATTCGGAAACCTTCCTACAGAAACATTGCGAACTCCTGGAACGTTTGAAACTCGAACCGGATACGTTCAAACTAGGGACTTGCGTCCTAGTGTCTGTCGGTATGTATGCCATGATATTATTATAATTAAAAGAACGCTGTACATAGTGTGTTTGTGTTGTAGAAAAACTGAAATACGGATTGACCATAGAAGTGAAGTCGTGCAATCGCCGCATTGGTCAACTGTTGCGTAAAAAATACCACCGTGAAATGGACTATGTGTATGCGGTTATGAACGAAATGGAAAGGAAGCTCGAGAGACAAATCCGAGACCTGGACGACATTCGAATGGTCATAGAGACGTTGAAAAAAATTCGCGAAAACGAAGTGGATATGGAACTCAAGATAGAGCCGATCGAGGAAGCGTTTAATGTGCTGACTCGCTTTGACCTGCCGGTGGACAAGGAAGATTTGGAATTGGTCGACAACGTTCGGTACTGTTGGCAGAGAGTTTTGACGCGGGCGATGGACATGAACTTGTATTTATTAGATTCACAACCGCAACTGCAAAAAGAGTTGGCCGAAAATTTGAAACACTTCAAATCGGATTGCGTGCAGTATTGCCACGAGTACAGGACGTTGGGTCCAATGATGCCGGGCCTTTCTCCAAGAGAAGCCTCAGACCGACTCATCATGTTTCAGAATCGCTTCGACGGCATGTGGCGCCGTTTGCAGTCTTATCAAAGCGGCGAAGAACTATTCGGATTGGAGACCACGGAATATCCGGAACTCGTTCAAATCCGCAAAGAACTAAATCTTCTCCAAAAGCTCTACAAACTTTACAACGACGTTATAGACCGAGTCAGCAGTTATTATGACATTCCTTGGGGTGACGTCAACATCGAACAAATTAACAACGAGCTAATGGAGTTCCAAAACCGATGTAGAAAACTACCCAAGGGACTTAAGGAATGGCCGGCGTTCCACGCGCTGAAAAGAACCATAGACGACTTTAACGACATGTGCCCGCTGTTGGAGTTGATGGCGAACAAGGCGATGAAACAGAGACATTGGCAGAGGATAATGCAAATCACCGGCTATAACTTCGAGCTGGAAAGCGAAGGGTTTTGTCTTAAAAATATTTTAGAAGCGCCGTTGCTCAAGCACAAAGAAGACATAGAGGACATATGCATTTCGGCTATGAAAGAAAAGGACATCGAAGCGAAACTGAGACAGGTAACTAACGAGTGGTCCGTGCAGGAGCTGACCTTCTTGACGTTTAACAACCGCGGTGAATTGTTACTCCGGGGAGACACAACCGCGGAAACCATAGGCCAGCTCGAAGACAGCCTGATGATTCTGGGGTCGTTGATGTCGAACAGGTGTGTAGGCAGTGCAGTATTGTCTATAGGGGAGTAAAAATAATATACACAACATGGTTTTTGATTCGAACAGGTACAACGCTCCGTTCAGGAAACAAATACAACAGTGGGTGTACGATTTGTCCAACACCAACGAAATACTGGAACGTTGGTTGTTGGTTCAAAACATGTGGGTGTACTTGGAAGCAGTGTTCGTCGGAGGCGACATAGCAAAACAGCTGCCTAAAGAAGCGAAAAGGTTTTATGGCGGTGTTATTGGTATATTATTATTATTATCGTTATCGTTATGTGTCGGACAGGTTCAGTAAAATCGACAAGTCTTGGCAAAAGATAATGCAACGGGCTCACGAGACGCCGAGCGTTGTAATTTGCTGCGTCGGCGACGACATGTTGAAACAGCTTCTTCCGCATCTTCAAGAGCAACTCGAGTTATGTCAAAAGTCTCTGAGCGGGTACAAAACAATAAATAAACAAATCTAATAGAAAATAAATATGAGATAACGCATTATTGATAATAGAGATATTAGAGATAATGTATTAGGGATAAGATATTAGAAATAATAGATTAGAGAAAAAAGATAAGAAATAAAAAATAGAGTTTATGTATTAGAGATAAGACACATAGATACTAGATTAGAGATAAAAAAAATAGAGAAACTAGATTAGAGAAAAGAGATTAGAGATAAAAAAGAATAAAAAAAATGGATTAGAGATTAAATAGATATTGTATTAGAGATACAATATTAGATATTATAGATTCGAGATAAATATAAGAGATATGAGGCAAGAGATTAGAGATAATAGATGAGAAAAGTACCAAAAAGTTCCAGGATCTTGTACTTGAACATAAAGACATGTACATGTGCCTATGTATCCGGCCGTGGTGTGGATACTCGTTAGTTTATTATTTGTTCTGAAATGATAGTGCAATTGTTATTCATTTTTGTTTTAGATATTTGGAAAGAAAACGCACCATGTTCCCGAGATTCTTTTTCGTTTCCGATCCGGCTTTGTTGGAAATTCTGGGCCAAGCTTCGGATTCGCACACGATCCAAAACCATTTGCTGTCGATATTCGACAACACAAAAGCGGTGAAATTCCACGAAATCGAGTACAATAAGATGACGGCCATCATTTCGACCGAAGGCGAAATCATACCGCTCGAGAGGGCGGTCAGGGCCGAAGGAAGTGTGGAGACTTGGCTAACAAGCTTGCTGCAAACGTCCCAGCAAACGATTCATTCGATTATCAGATCGGCCAACCATCAGATGAGCGATTCCAACTTTAGTCTGTTGCCGTTTTTAGAAAAAATGCCCGCACAGGTTTGTACTGGAATAGATTTTTATAACGGAAAATAACCTATACTATAATGAGAATTGTGATATTGTCAGATTGGGATTTTGGGCATTCAAATGATTTGGACTAGGGATTCGGAGATAGCGTTGTTGCACGCGAGGTCAGACAGAAAACAGATGCACGACACCAATAACAGATTTTTAGAACTGTTGAACACTTTAATTGACCAGACCACGAGGGACCTGACTCGCATCGAACGCACCAAATTCGAGACGTTGATCACAATTCACGTTCATCAAAGGGACATATTCGATATATTGGTAAATAATAATAATCGTCTGGATTGAATTGGAAAATATTTATGTTAATTTTTTTTTGTATTAATAACCGACAAAAACGGTTTAGTGCCGTCTTAACGTGCGGTCGGTGAACGATTTCGAATGGTTGAAACAATGTCGGTTTTACTTCAAAGAAGACATGGACAAAACGTGGATATCCATAACCGACGTCAACTTTAACTATCAAAACGAGTACTTGGGTTGTACCGAACGACTCGTTATCACGCCCCTCACAGACAGGCGAGTAGTTTTGAGAAATAAAAATCAATTTTCACGGTCAGTCGTTGTGCGACTGAAACGTTTCACGCGATAAGGGGGTTGTTTTCAGTATTCAAATTTTACATAAATGTACTACTTTCGGTGATACGACCCGAATATATCTGATAAAAATGTCTTTTATTTTTAACTCCAGGTGTTACATAACGTTGGCACAAGCGTTGGCCATGAGCATGGGCGGGTCGCCCTGTGGACCGGCGGGCACGGGCAAAACGGAAACGGTAAAAGATATGGCCAAGACGTTAGCCAAATACGTGGTGGTGTTCAATTGTTCCGATCAAATGGATTACCGAGGGCTGGGGCGGATTTACAAAGGTCTCGCGCAATCCGGCACGTGGGGTTGTTTCGACGAGTTCAACCGCATAGAGCTGCCCGTGCTGTCTGTTGCGGCGCAGCAAATAGCCGTGGTGTTGTCGGCGAAGAAAGAGAAGAAAAAACAATTTACCTTCACAGACGGCGACGTAATCGATTTGTGTCCTGAATTTGGCATATTTATTACCATGGTACGCCGCGCCCCGTTAGGATATTAGTATTATTGTTATTACGAAACAAAAACGATATTATGATGACGATGTAACGACGTTATTGGACGTTTTCAAGGTCCCCGTCGTCGTCTTATACGACATTTTTGAGCCGGTTTGAATAGGAATGGCACAGACTTGCATTATAGGTTCAAATGTCATCATTTATTGTATTTTGTAATTTAAATAATATTATTAGGTCTTGCCTGTCCCGAGTATGACAATGGAAATAATTATTATTACTACCTACTTAAAATAGAAAAAAATATTTTAACGACCTTGATGACAAACTATTTTTGAAAATACAACTAAACAATGTGTTAAACATTTTTATATAAATTAATTATATAAACCGAAACGTAAAAAGAAAATGCCAAACAATAAAAAAGACCATCACTTATCAGTTATCACATATTATCTTAATAACCAATGAGAACGTTGGAATCGGGGTAACGGCTTTGGTAACCCAACTGTTAGTTTTGTTACCTTAACAAATAGAATTTAACAATAATAATGACGTTATGGTGAAACTTATTTCATTCGACCAGACGTTGAATTTAAACGAATTGTTAACTAACATTGTGCGTTAAGAGTGTATTTAACAATAGCTGTGGGTGAAACCGGCTGATTATTATGTTTTGCCCTCTAGAATCCGGGCTATGCCGGCCGGAAGGAGTTGCCGGAAAATTTGAAAATACAATTCCGCACCGTCGCCATGATGGTGCCCGACCGGCAAATCATCATCCGCGTGAAATTGGCCAGTTGCGGATTTCTGGAAAACATAACCCTGGCTAGGAAATTCTACACGCTGTACAAACTGTGCGAGGAACAACTGACCAAACAAGTGCACTACGACTTCGGGCTTCGGAACATCTTGTCGGTGCTGAGGACTTTGGGAGCCGCGAAACGTGTCAACAACAAAGACACCGAAAGCACAATCGTTATGCGCGTACTCCGGGACATGAACCTTTCGAAATTAATAGGTAACCAACGTTGTGTTTACAATATATATACGGCCGATTTCACCAACATTTAGATTTGACTTGTTTGTTAATTGTGTTTACCGATGAGTTGGTAGTGAAAATCGGGTTTCATCGAGATTTGTTAGCCCTAACACGTTGTTAAAACGATTGCGGAGTTAATCAGCCGAAATCAGCTTGTTAAAAAGACGTTAATTGGCAAGTTAAAATGCCATAAATCAAATTATTCGTAACTAATTGAGATTTTTAAGTATAAAATTATATTATCACTTATCAGTTATCACATTTTGTAATAACCAATGAAAACGTTGGTATCATGGTAACCGCTTTGGTAACCTTTGTTAACATAACAAATAGAATTTGACAATAATAATGTTATGGTGAAACTTACTTAATTTAACCAGATGTTAATAATAGATGGGGAGACCGGCTGATTATGTTTCTAGCAATTCGGTCATAACCTAACATAACCTACCTAACCTTACTCTCTACAGACGAGGACGAACCGTTATTTTTGTCTTTGGTCACCGACTTGTTCCCGAATCAGATGCTCGAAAAAACTGCCTATCCCGAGCTAGAAGAAGCCATCGAAAGCCAAGTGCAAGCCGAAGGACTTATTTACCATTCGCCGTGGGTTTTGAAATTGATTCAAGTGAGTGACGACCTGACGTTTTGTTATAAATTTGTCGAATAATTACACTTTCTGTTGTACTGTACCGTATAGTTGTACGAAACCCAACGCGTGAGACACGGTATTATGACGCTGGGCCCTGCCGGATCCGGTAAAACGTGCTGCATTCAAATTCTAATGAAAGCTCTGACCATATGCGGAGAGCAACACAAGTACGACATACTTGATATTATGTTATTGATGCGATAAATGTATTTGGGCTGGGTCCGACCAAGATAATTCACTAGATATTTTTTTGTGTCGAGCTAAATTTATTCAACCAAATCATAAAATTATTAGCATGCTTATACATTTCTGGCAATAGCTACAATTCTCACGAATTTTTGTGTTTTATTTTGAAAACCTTTTTTTTTTTTTTCCGCGCATGCATCCATAGTAAAACTGGGGAGGTACTTACCTGTCGAGGCATTACTTCCCCCCAGTTTTCCGATGCCGTGTATTTTCAATAAAATTACAACATTGTTTGAGTGGGTGCTCCACACACCCACTCAACATTTGGCTTAAACCTAAACGTTTAAAGCTTAAATCTAACACACCCTCTCCGGGTGGGGGCCCAATAACAATATGCACATTGGACCCCATCTGAACTGTATTTACATTTCATCTTGGATTTGTATTATTTTGAAAACCTAACCTAACCCAGCCTAACCTAACCCAACCTAACCTAACCGATTCCGTTGCAACTGATTTCCTGTTTAGGGAAATGAGAATGAACCCGAAAGCGATTACCGCGGCCCAAATGTTCGGTCGACTGGACGTGGCCACTAACGATTGGACGGACGGAATATTTTCCGCGTTGTGGAGAAAGACTTTGAAGTTGAAAAAATCGGAACACGTGTGGCTGGTGTTGGACGGACCCGTGGACAGTATATGGATAGAAAATCTGAATTCCGTGTTGGACGACAACAAAACGCTGACGTTGGCCAACGGCGACAGACTGCCGATGGCGCCAAACTGTAAGATCATTTTCGAGCCTCACAACATCGATAACGCGTCCCCGGCGACAGTTTCGCGCAACGGCATGGTGTATATGAGTTCGTCCGGGCTGGACTGGAGTCCGGTGGTGGCGGCTTGGCTCAAGAAAAAAAATAGACGTGAAGCAAAACTGTTCCGTCGTCTGTTCGACAGCACTTTTGCGAACGTCTACAATTGGACAGTGCAAAATTTAAATATGACCATGAAGGTCTTACAGTGCAACATCATTCAACAAGTAAGCGAAGAAAAGTGAAGCATTTGTACCATCTAGAATCAATTTGCTATTAAAAAAAACCACTTTAATTCAAAACTCTTGTTGTAGATGCTATTGTTGCTGCAAGGGTTAATTCCGAAGAAACCGGAAGAAGAAAAACAAGAGGAAGAAGACGAATTCGATAGTCATAGTAGCTCTGCAGAAGAAGATGAAGGCGAATCGGAAAACAACCGAATGAGACCAGACGACTTGTTGTGAGTTTTTAATAATATTACAATGAACATTATAACGATTATACTATTAAATACTTTTCAGACCCAGTAAAATCCATCTGCAACGTCTATTCGTATTCTCGTTGGTATGGGGACTAGGAGCTTTGCTGGAAACAGCGGATAGGTTAAAATTCCATACCTATTTAAATGACAATTTTGCTTCGGTATTGGACCTTCCCTCGTCAACAGCACAACCCGACGCTCAAGTCTTTGATTTTTTCGTTACCGACGAAGGTAGTATGAACTAGGTGGACATTTTTTGATTTAGACTTCAAGAAATACATTTTATTATCAGGGCAATGGGACCATTGGAATACCGTCATGGCGTCGACCACACAAGCCGAAACATCGAGTGGTTCTGATTACAGCCAAGTGTTGGTTCCGATACTGGAAAGCGTCCGAATCACTTATCTGATAAACACTATTGCCAAACAAGAGCAACCGGTCTTATTGATCGGCGAACAAGGATCTGGAAAAACGGTAATGATGAAATCGTACATGAAAATCTCCAAGGCGGATCTTTATTTGAACAGATCGTTCAATTTCTCTTCGGCCACGAGTCCCTATCAATTTCAGGTAATGCGTTATGGAAGGTAACGTTAAAAAAAAAATATTTTGAATACAATTAAGTGTTTGTACACATAGAAAACCATCGAGAGCTACGTGGAAAAGAGATTGGGAAACACTTTCGGTCCGCCGGGTGGCCTTAAAATGATAGTGTTCATCGACGACATAAACTTGCCCGAAGTCAATGAATGGGGAGATCAAATCACAAACGAAATAGTCCGGCAAACAATGGACATGAAGGGATTCTATAGTTTGGAAAAACCAGGAGAGTTTTACACGTTAAACGATATACTCTTCGTGGGCGCTATGGTTCATCCGGGTAGGACACAGATTGTCTTGATATTGGTTTTCAAAGCAATTTTTCTGTGAACCATTTTGCTCGTAGGTGGTGGAAGAAATGACATACCTTCGAGACTTAAACGCCAATTCAGTGTATTTAACTGCACAATGCCGTCGGACACGTCGATTGATAAGATCTTCCGCGTCGTCGGCGAAGCGCATTACAATGCGAAACGAGGATTTCCTTTGGAAATTCGAAACTTGGTCAAGAAGCTTACACCCATCACCAGAGAACTTTGGCATCGAACCAGAGTATGAGAACGATTGTGTGTTGATTGTGAAGGCTATCGTTGTTGTTATGTTGTCGTTTATTTATAGATGACCTTATTGCCCACGCCAGCAAAGTTCCATTATGTTTTCAGCTTGAGAGATTTGTCTCGGATTTGGCAAGGAATGGTCGGAACGTTGAGCACGGTCATAGATTCTGCGAAAATATTGATAATGCTATGGAAACACGAGACCACTAGAGTTTTTTCCGATAGGTAAAGGAGTACTCATTGGCACTTATAGCATACATTACAAAATATATAAACGGTGTTTTTATTTTTTAGATTCACTTCGGCTACCGACAAAAATTGGTTTGACGCAGAACTCAAGAATGTAGTCGAAGCGAGATTAGGTGTACAGTATACCGACTTGCTCGTGTCCGATCCTCCCTTTGTTGATTTTATGAGGTACGGGTTCTGATATCATCTATAGCATATAGTATTATTTTACCATCTCGCTATTTTCCTAAAGAGATGCACCCGAACCTACGGGAGAAGAAGGCGAAGAAGCCGACATGGAACTGCCCAAGGTCTATGAACCGGTTATGGAAGAGGCTCAACTGAGGGAACGATTGGAAATGTTTTTGTCTCAGTTTAACGAAATGGTCCGCGGCGTCGGAATGGACCTGGTGTTTTTTCCTGACGCCATTTTCCATCTAGTCAAAGTAATTGTCAAACAACACGGTTATGTAAGCAAAAAGTTTAAAAAACATGATTGTATTCAGATATCGAGAGTGATACGCCATCCTCGTGGTAATGTAATGTTAGTGGGCGTTGGCGGATCAGGAAAGCAGTCTTTGACCAGATTAGCTTCGTTCATAGCTGGTTACAAAACGTTTCAAATTTCATTAACGAGGTATGTACGAACGAGATGTTCGATCAAGTTTCTCGAGCTGGGAATTGTGAGTACATTTATTTCTCTAGGTCCTACAACATAACAAATTTTTTGGAAGATCTTAAGCTATTGTACAGAACGTGTGGCGTTCAAGCTAAAGGAACGACTTTCATTTTTACTGATTTGGACATAAAAGAAGAAGGTTTTTTGGAATATTTGAACAACATATTGTCTTCGGGTAAAATTGTAGTTTTTAATTTTAATTTTAATGGTGGACTTTTAAAAAAAAAACTAAGTCTACGATATTTTACAGGCGGAATAACCAATTTATTTACAAAGGATGAACAGTCAGAAATAATATCTGAACTGACTCCTATAATGCGACGAGAAAATTCCAAACGAACGCTAAACCATGAAATTATAATGGATTACTTTTTAACCAGGACGTGTCAAAACCTTCATATTGTTTTTTGCTTTTCCCCGGTAAGCTGGTTGTGTGAAATTGGCATTGAGAGATTTTCTAAAGCAAAACTTTTACAGGTGGGAGAAAAGTTCAGAAACCGAGCGCTTCGATTTCCAGCGCTTGTGTCGGGTTGCACAATCGATTGGTTTCAACCATGGCCCAAGGACGCTCTCGTTCAGGTGGCCGAACACTTTTTATTAGATTTCGACATAGAGTGCACAGCCGGAGTGAAAAGAGAACTGGTCGACGCCATGGGCACGATCCAAGACATTGTAGATCATACGTCTAGTGATTATTATCAGCGATTCCGCCGAGCCACTCACGTGACGCCCAAGTCCTATTTGAACTTCATCGGTGGATACAAGAGTATCTATCACCAGAAGCAGAAGGAATTAGGCGAGGGCGCTCACCGCATGGACACCGGGCTGGCAAAATTAGAAGAAGCTTCCATTTCGGTAGAACTACTCAAGAAAGACTTGGACGTGATGGAACAGGACTTGGCGTACGCCTCTCAAAAAGCAGAAACCGTATGTGATAGGACTGTTCTGATTGGGACAATGTACCAAGTAAGTGTTTAACCGTTTTTTGACACAGGTACTTGTCGAGGTGACCGATCGAGCCAGACAAGCCGAAATAGTAAAAAACCAAGTGATGAAAGTCAAGGTGAAAGCAGAAGCTCTGGTCGAGTCCATAGCCAAAGAGAAAGCTATAGCTGAAGAAAAACTAGAAGCGGCAAGACCTGCGTTGGAGGAAGCCGAGTCTGCGCTGAACACTATAAAACCGGCGCACATAGCCACGGTTCGTAAACTCGGTAGACCTCCGCATTTAATCATGCGCATAATGGATTGCGTTTTGATATTATTCCAACGAAAAGTTCATCCGGTCGTGAGCGACACGACAGTGAGATGTCCGAAACCGTCATGGCCCGAATCGTTAAAGGTATAAATTGTAACTTGATTCGATTTATGTCGTCTATGTAAGATGACATATTCTTATGGATTATGTCTTACGTTGACAGATGATGGCAAGTACTACGTTCTTACTTCAATTGCAAAATTACCCGAAGGATACGATCACCAACGAAATGGTAGAACTACTGCAGCCGTATTTCAACATGGACGATTACAATATGGACACCGCCAAAAGGGTTTGCGGTGATGTAGCAGGTTTGCTGTCGTGGACGAAGGCGATGGCGTTCTTTCATAGCATCAACAAAGAAGTCTTACCACTGAAAGTACGTTATTTTTAAATTACAAAACATTTTCATTTATACTATATGAATACATGATTAACATGAATATATCTTCTGGCTGGGGGTCAATGCAAAATTTGCTTCGGCGGTTTCATGCCAAGATGTCGCGTCATCAGTGGAGAGGTTAAGAGAAGGGAGAGGAGGGAGGGTAGGGAAGTGAAGGTGTTTTCATCATATCTAAAAACATACATGACCAGCTGATTATAAGACATGTTTGTGATATAATATCTTTCCTTCAAGGGAAAATTGATTGATTTTTTAGTTTATTCGATTTTAATGTTTAACCGTAGGCTAATCTGACGCTGCAAGAAGCTAGACTGTCCATAGCAATGGACGACTTATCTAAGGCGGAGCTTCAACTTCATGAAAGAGAAGTAGCGTTGAACGAAGTGAAAAGTCAATACGACGCGGCTGTCCAAGAGAAGCAAAGACTTACCGACGCGGCGAACGTGTGTCTGAGAAAAATGACATCGGCAACCGCCCTGATCAACGGTTTAGGAGGGGAAAAGATCCGGTGGACCCAACAGAGTAAAGATTTCAAAAAGCAACTCGGACGGTAAATAAAAAATCTTTACAAAAATAAAATCATAATTATATGATTTATTGAACGTCATCCGTATCATAACAGACTTGTGGGCGACGTCTTGTTGGCAACCGGATTTTTATCGTACTGCGGACCTTACAATCAAGAGTTCAGAGCAAATCTGGTTCAAAAGTGGATGAACATATTGACAACGCAAAAAGTACCGTTTACCACCAAGCTCAACATAATCAACATGTTGATAGACAATTCGATGGTTGGTATTAATTGTATTTTGCAAGAGTTAAAAAAGTATCATTTTTTTTTTTTGTAAAAATTACCACCGAACGGTCTTAGGTTTCGGAATGGACGTTGCAAGGTTTACCGAACGACGAACTGTCCGTACAAAACGCTTTAATAGTGACCAAGTCGAGTTCGTATCCACTACTGATCGACCCACAAAACCAAGGGAAAATGTGGATAAAGAACAAAGAGTCGTCCAACGAACTGCAGATAACGTCGTTGAATCATAAGTACTTCCGCACGCATTTGGAAGACTGTCTGTCTTTGGGCCGACCTTTATTGATAGAAGACGTTGGTGAAGAGCTCGATCCTGTGATCGATAACGTGCTCGAGAAAAATTTCATCAAATCGGGATCTATAGAGAAAGTAATAAATCCATTCGTCGATCGTACCACCGCCGAGTTGCATTACTTAATGAAATGTTGTGCCCAACAGGTCGTTGTCGGCGACAAAGAAACAGACGTGATGCCAGGGTTTGTGTTGTACATAACGACAAAACTACCAAATCCCGCTTACTCGCCCGAGATCAGCGCCAAGACTTCGATTATCGATTTCACCGTTACCATGCAAGGACTCGAAGATCAACTATTAGGCAATTATAATCCTCTGCTAAATCCTCTTCTCCCGCTAGTAAGTAACTAAAAAAAGACAAATTTGTACGTGTTTAGGCCGAGTGATATTGATGGAAAAGTCCGACTTGGAAGCCGAACGAGTAGCGTTGTTCGAATCCGTCATACAAAATCAACGGTCCATGAAGGAGTTCGAAAGCAATTTACTGCACAAATTGTCTTCCATTCAAGTAAGTACATGCATGCATCTTACTGACAACTTCTACAAGTAATGTGTTTTTCGTTTAGGGTTCGTTGGTGGACGACGAAGATCTGATACGAGTACTGCAAGAAACCAAAGCCACCGCCGAAGCCGTCAACGCCAAACTGAAAGTGTCCGAACAGACTGAAATCAAAATCATGAAGGCCAGAGAAGAGTTCAGAGCGGTGGCGACACGTGGGTCGATTCTGTATTTCTTAATCGTCGAGATGAGCAACGTGAACGTCATGTATCAAAACTCGTTGAAACAGTTTCTGATGTTATTCGACAACTCCATAAACAAATCCACCAGGAGTTCCATAACGGAAGAACGGATACAAAACATTCTACATTACTTGACCTACGAGGTGTGGAAGTTCACCATGAGAAGTCTGTACGAACGGCACAAGCCGCTTTTCACGCTCATGTTGGCGATGAAAATCGATTGCTACAAACAAACGATAACGCACGAAGAGTTCATGACTTTCATCAAAGGTAACAAATACAAAATATGTTGACGACAATATTGATTTTAAATTTCCACCAACGGTTCTTCGTAGGCGGAGCGTCTTTAGACTTGAACGCGGTCACTCCGAAACCATTCCGGTGGATACTAGACATCACTTGGCTGAACTTAGTGGAACTGCACAAGTTAAACGTGTTCTCCAATCTTTTAAACAAAGTGAGTGTTTGCTGCACAACGTTATTGGTCGTATAAGTTAATCGAAACTGATAAACAGCAAATTTGTAATTTGTATTTTTTTTTTTTTGCACGCTCGTCTTGTTAAGATAAAACAAAACGAAAAAGACTGGCGTGTTTGGTACGAGAAAGAAAAACCGGAAGAAGAGGACATACCTTGTGGCTACAACAAATCGCTCGACGTATTCCGGAAGTTGTTACTGATCCGTTCGTGGAGTCCGGATCGTACTCTTTCGCAATCTCGGAAATACATTATGGGTAACAATAAATGCAACCCGAGGCACTGGACGTTGAGAGGGGTGGTTCCCCTGTGCGATATTAAATAATGACTTGATTCAATATCTTGGGAGAGGGGGTCCTGAAAGTTTTCTTCCTCTTTGAGGAGAAACAAATGGTCATAAACAAGTTTTATGGCACCCACCCACTCCTATCCCGAACATTACACACTGGTCACATTCTAAAAACACCTAATTATAAAAATAGTTAAGAAGGGCTGATAAGAATGGATGATGAGAGATAATAATGTGTGATAAGAGATAAGGAGGGTTGATAACTGGGACAAATTTTAATCTTACTGTAGCAAGTATTTGGAAAATTTTGAACTGACCCCCCGGTAACGGAATATATTCATGTTAATAGTAGATAACGATAAATGGGGATGATAAGGTTTGAACGTCTTTGAATTGGGTTTAACCTTGAACTGTTTCCGGTAGATTCCTTAGGGCCGGAATACGGAGAAGCGTGTATTTTGGATTTGGAGAAAACCTGGGAAGAATCTGAACCACAAACGCCGCTGGTTTGCATTCTATCGATCGGTTCCGATCCGTCTCCTCAAATCACTGCGTTGGCTAAAACAAAAGAAATGCGTACGGCCGTTAACTATTTTTATTACTATTCAGATTACAGTTTGTCTATTTTATTTTAGAAATACGTTCCGTGTCCATGGGCCAAGGTCAGGAAAGCCACGCGAGAAATTTGATATCCGACAGCATAGCCAACGGCGGTTGGGTATTGTTGCAAAACATGCATTTGTCACTTCCTTTTTGCACAGAAGCAATGGACGCGTTGTCGGATTCCGAAGAAATACATCCGAGTTTCCGGATGTGGATAACCACCGAAGTCCATTCGCAATTTCCCATTGCGCTTCTACAAGTATATATGAATATCGTTAAAACATTTTGCTCGTCTTCGTGTAGGAACATATTGAATTATCATGTCTTATGGCACCTATCCAGTCTTAATTTCGACTTTAATACTTAGGAGTGGACGAGTACTGTGAACGATTGTATTGTTATTTTACAGATGGCTATTAAATTTACCAACGAACCACCTCAGGGAATTCGGGCCAGTATGAAAAGAACCTATCAGAACATAAGCCAAGTAAATCATTGATTCGAGTCGATCGTTACATTACCTAACTCGGATTTTTTTTCTCCAAAGGACATGTTAGACTATTCGGCACAACCACAATGGCCGACTCTCCTTTACGCCGTAGCTTTTCTCCACACTATCGTACAGGAAAGGCGAAAGTTTGGCCCTTTGGGTTGGAATATACCGTACGAATTCAATCAGGCGGATTTCGCCGCCAGCGTGCAGTTCGTGCAAAATCACCTGGACGACATGGACCCAAAAAAGGTATAATAATAATAATAATAACAATAATATTGTATTGTTGTCTGGCAGCGCTCGATTGCGGTTTTAATTTTGGCAGGGAGTTTCGTGGCCGACCATTTGTTATATGTTGGGCGAAGTACAATACGGCGGCAGAGTCACCGACGATTTCGATAAGAGATTATTGATCACTTTCACTCAAGTGAGCAATCCGAATGGCCGGTTTTTAACCTGATATACTATACTTATTGTACTTATAGGTGTGGTTCTGCGATGTGCTATTAAGGCCGGGATTCGAGTTCTACAGGGGTTACAAGGTGCCCTCAAATAGAAACATTCAGGTAAATAGATGGTTTATTTTAATTTTAGAAGATGATGTTAAAACTCGGGGGTGCAATTTCACAGGGTTGCACCGACTACATAAATAGTTTACCTGTGACGGATTCGCCCGAAGTGTTTGGTCTTCATTCGAACGCAGACATTACGTAAGTCGTACACCGAATAAGCACCTGGCACGTTTAGAACCTTTTATTATATTGTCAGGCATCAAATAAACACTGCCAAAGGAATTTTGGATACGATACTGAGCGTTCAGCCCAAAGAAGGCGGTGGCGGTGGAGGAGAGACCCGGGAAAGCGTCGTCTATCACCTGGCCGAGGACATGCTAAAGAAGTTACCCAAACAATACAAAGACTTTGAGGTGAGTCTCGAGCCAAAGTTGAAAAGTTATCGCACGATTAGTGCTATTGATATGGGGTCTGTGCGCAGGTAAAAGAGTCGTTGCAGAGGATGGGAGCATTGCTGCCGATGAACATTTTCCTGAGACAAGAAATAGACAGGGTCAAGAAAGTACTCGGTATCGTTCGGAAAACCCTTTGCGATTTGAAATTGGCTATAGACGGTACCATAGTCATGAGCCAAGGGCTGAGAGAGAGTCTGGACGCTATGTACGACGCTAGAATTCCACAAAGGTGGCAAAAGGTAAAATATTTTAACGGCGAGATTGTCTTGGCTAAAACCAACGACTTATAAGTCTTTTTAACAACTTTTCTTGCATTCTTTTTTTTTTATATATACACAAAAGGTGTCTTGGGAATCGGCAACGTTGGGCTTTTGGTTTACCGAATTGTTGGAGCGCGACAATCAATTCCGAAAATGGATTATCAGCGGACGACCGAACGTCTTCTGGATGACCGGGTTCTTTAATCCCCAAGGATTTCTCACGGCCATGAGACAAGTCAGTGGAATATTTATCGCGTTTAATAGCGTACGATAACAGCTGTCGTAGTCAACGGTTTTTTTTTTTTTGTTGTGTATTTTACCCGGATTTTTAGGAAAAGGGGTTGAACTATTAGTCAATTTTTAGCCGCATAAAGTACCTTCCGTGTAAGATTGATGTGTACGGTCAATAGAAAAATATCATTCATCATTGTAAAACCTACTATTTCTCGGCGCCGCATCTGAGCTAAAGAGTCGATTTAACAAAAAAATAAAACTGAAACTTAACTCTGACCGCATAAATAACTTGATAAATCTAAAAATAAAAATTTTCTAAATGGCCGATTCAATTATATATTCTCTTATCACTAAGCCTTTGTCGAAATGTAACGATTTTATTGATAAGGTATAACTGATAAGGAAGCTATGATTAGTAATTAGTCGATAAGGGATCGTTGATAACGGGTTAATGATAAGCTAGTCTATTTATAAAATAGGTTAATTAATCCGCATAATAATATTATAATAACCTTTTCTTGTAACTGTTTACGGCGACTTGATGACGCAGGAAGTGACCAGAGCTCACCGCGGATGGGCGCTGGATTCTGTGGTGCTGCAGAATCTGATAACGCGACACAACAAAGAAGAGCTCAGCGATTCGCCGCCGGAAGGCGTGTACGTTTGCGGCATGTTTTTGGAAGGCGCCAGTCTGGACAGGAAGACGGGCAAGCTGGTGGAGAGCAAGCCGAAAGTGCTGTACGAACAGATGCCGGTGATTTATATATTCGCCATCAACACGACCGCCGGCAAAGACCCCAAACTGTACGAGTGTCCGATCTACAGGAAACCGCAGAGGACCGACCTAAAGTATGTCGGGTCCATCGACTTCGAAACCGACAACAATCCGAGGCACTGGACGTTGAGAGGGGTGGCCCTCCTGTGCGATATTAAATAATAACTTTACTTGATTTAATATCTAGGGGGAGGGGGTACTAAAAGTTGTCTTACTCTTCAAGGAGAAGCAAATGAATCATGAATAAGTTTTACGGCACCCATCCACTCCTATCCCGAACATTACACACTGGACATATTCTAAAAACACCTGATTATAAAAATAGTTAAGAAGGGCTGATAAGAATGGATGATGAGAGATAATAATGTGTGATAAGAGATAAAGAGGGTTGATAAGAGATAAGGATGGCTGATAACTGGGACAGATTTTAATCTTACTGTAAAGTGTTTTGCAAATTTTAAACTGACTCCCGGCCATAGAAAATATTTAGGATAATAGTAGATAAACTCGATGATTCCCCCTCCCCCTGATACAGGTAATACAACAAATACGGTTAACCCAATAGTTTAAAGATGAATAAATTTCCATTTCTAGATGATTATTGTAACAATATTTTTAAATAATAAATAAGACTCATTTTGGCTTTTTAATGTATTGAAGAAATAGTATGTATAAAATATAAATAGTTTTATTGACAATAAATTTGTTTATACCCGTTTAATTCGGGTTTTTAGATTACCTCGAAAAGTGTAACTACAGACTTTTACATTTTTTTTTAAATACAATAACAGCTAAGTTTATTTTTGAAAAAAAATTATTTAAAAGTTATTGATCTACATTGATTTAGTTATTTATCTATTAAGTCGACCATCAGTAAAATTTTAAGCTTTAAGACTATGGCTAAAAACACAATTTAAACATTTTGTCGAAGGTATAATAACATAACAGCAAATCAAAGTTGAAAAACAAAACAGTTTTAAAGAAAAAAAAATAGCAATGATATCTTAGCTCCTTTCCACCTATTTTTGAAGAGAAATTACCCTTCCCCCCCCATATTATTGTTTCAATTTCATGGTTTTGTTAATATATTGTAGCCAAATATTTATCAATAAAATTACTTAAATATTTTTAGCTTTGATTCAGAGCTGAGAAGGTAAGGTATTGTATTTTTTTTTTTTTAAATATTTTGAACCGCTAAACCGATTTCTTCATGTAGCAACTCTATAGATCATAAATCTTACCTGTAAGATACTTTATTAGACCAAAAATTTAAAAAGTTCATTCCAAAATCGAGAAAAAAACCAAAAAAAAAAATGTTTACTAGACCTCACTTACTACTACTACTACTAATACTACTTGCGTGTAATACTTTAGTACGGAAAGAAACATAAATTGAATTTGTATAATAGATTTCAATTGCTGACGATTCTTTAAATGCTGACATTTAATTATTTCTCAATAACTTTTGTACTTATAATAGCTTGTTACTTAGAAGTTAGCTTAATAAATCGATAAAAACAATTTAACTTATCATTGTAACGACAATTACAATTGGTTACTCGTACATACAAATCGGATAATTTGTTGTTTTTTTTTCATATCTATTTTAAACCGCTAAACCGATTTGTTCATGTAGAAACTCTATAGATCAGAAATCTTACCTGTAAGATACTTTATCTGACCAAAAATTAAAAATTTCATTCCAAAGTCGAGAAAAACACCAATGAAACATGTTTACTGGACCTCACTTACTACTACTACTGCTAATACTACTTGCGTGTAATACTTTAGTACGGAAAGAAACATAAAAGATACTTACTAAAAAAATATATACATATTAATAGTTTTAGAAACTTTATTACTTTACGAAATGCAAACATGTGACAAACAGAATAAAAATTTAGAAATCGTTTCATACAACGACAAAAGAGTTAAATCTAAAACAGCTGGTGTACTTAATTAAATACGTACAAATTTACTTAACTTAAATAAGCTCTTAATTGTTGCTCGTCAAATCCTAGTTGGATTATTCCCGTTGCCTCGAAGTCATTTAAAAGTGGAACATAAAGTTCAAACATGCTGTCGATAGCGTTCTCATATGTTGTTGAATACTGTATTAACGTTGATTTGATTTCATCGACCTCCATTGATTTGTTTGGGTCCCGCGATCTCGGCCAACAACGAGCCTGGAGAAAGTCCCGCAATTTGCTGTTTGCCGATGTTATCCGTTCGAGGAAAATACCGGAATCCCTGTTAAAATCGCTCTCCTTGATCACGTTATTGGTACCTATGTAATTTGATTTGATGAACATCTGACGGTCGCAGTGCGGTAATAAGGTCGATAAGGCGTGGATGACATCACTCGTCCCCGTGGAAGCTACGGGATCCTGTGCTTCGGAAGCTTTGCTGTAAAAATTCAGAACTAATTGTATTTTTTCGATCATTGACTTTTTTCTGTCCAATGTCGCCCAAAACCGTTCCATACAATCCAACTTTGACGCGGCCGTATCGCACAACGTGCACCCCACATTGATTATTTCAATGAACACATCGTTAAAGAGTTTTAGAATTTCAAAGTAAAAGCAGCTTGCCACCGTCGAAGATTTTGCCAATTTTTCGGTATAGTTTTCCGCGGTAACAATATTGCCAACCGCGTCTTTGTTCAACAGATCCGACACGTCCATTCGTTGCCCGTCGATTGATTTTAATTCTCGATTTAGATCATTACCCATTTGTACTAATTCCGTCCAATGAGGCGCCTTCAAGATATCGTTTAACGTTGTCTCAGGTTTTTTTTCGGCCAAGCACATCGGAAAAGTGCCAACGGAAAACAACCAGCACACGAACAAAAGTGGTCCAATCATATTGGCCGGTGGTCTGTAGTAGTTTGCAGCTGTTATATTTCGAGTAGGTAGCTAGACTTTACTGAAAGGCCAACGAAACAGGACTGTTAGGTAGGTATAATTTGGTTTTGAGCAGTAAATGTCGTTGGTGAATGTTGGTTTTGCTTTATTTAGCTCCACGTTCACTATGGTGAAGCCACGTAAGAAAATTGTAATATTTGTTCTAACTTCTACCATGGTTTAGGTCGATGGAAAACCCACACGTGTCACAAGTTCATTTTTCAATGTCTTTGGTTGTCGATCGATGGATGTCTTCTCTCCTCCGCCATTCCCATCATTGGAAATAAAATGTAAAGTCAATAAAAAGAAAAGTTTATTTTTTTTAGCAACTATTTCGTTCGGTGACGTTTAAAGACTTTTTTTGTATTTTTTTAAATTTCCATACCGAAGAATAATAATAATATAATAAATAACATGAAATAAAATATGTTCTGCAAAACGAACTGTCGCGTAGAGTATTTCCTATCCGTTTCAATTTTGTAATATTTGTATTGCAAAATTGTATAAGCCGCCCGTACACAAAATGATCGGTTTGTCGATCTGTTGACATTTAAATTGATCAACAACATAAATTCAAATTTTTAAAACAACTTTTTTACCATGAATACAATTTCTAGGATTTTTGATATTTTCCCCTTATTTTTCTGTTGTTTTGTATGCTTGTTCAAACAGTTACCTGTTAGTCATACATCAATACACTAAAAAATATAACCATCGACGAAAACAACACCTTTAACATCAACCTAGATGTATTGTATTAAGTGTCTGAAAAGTACAAAAAAAAAAAAAACGGTTTAATTATTATTATAGTGTGGGGCCATTTATTTTTTACCTAAACAAATTATGGACGTAGAGCAATTATTGTCAGTAATCCGAATTCAGTTTTATACTTGTACAAAAGAAAAAAATTATATTTAAAGACTTATGATGAAATTTCCTCAATATTTTTGAAAAATGTGCATTCATTTTCACTCCAGCTATTACCTCTTTATTAAACAAATCACTATCATCGTTCTTTCACAACAATGGAAATCCTCATTTATAACCTCGATTTTCGAAAAAGGCAATAATTGTTTAGTAAATAATTATCGTCCCATATCGAATTTGTCGATAATACCTAAAGTATTCTCAAAATTAATCAACAATACTATTACACATTTATGCAATCGATTATTATCAAACAGCCAACATGGTTTTAGGCAAAATAGATCAACAATAACAAATGTATGCATATTTAAACACGAAATTCTGGATTCATTTAAAAATCATTCACAACCCGATTTCATCTATACAGATATGGAAAAGGCCTTTGATAGGATAAATCATAAATTATTAATTAATAAACTTAAAATGTATAGATTCGTTGAACCACTTTTGTCTTGGCTTTACTTTTTCATATCTGGTCGTAGTCAAACTGTAAAATACAAAAATTACCTATCTGAAAAAATCCTTGTTACCTCTGGTGTTCATCAAGGAGATCATTTATCTCCTATATTATTTGGTCTTTTTACAAAAGATATATCTGATGTTATTTCTCATTCTAAAATTCTGTTATTAGCCGATGATGCAAAAATTTTCAAAAATATTAGTTGCTTAAATGATGCCGTTGAATTACAATTAGATTTAAAAAATATACACAAATGGTGCCAACAAAACGTTGTGTACTTAAATTTAGAAAAATGTTCCTATATTACTTTCTCCTTAATAAAATCACCTATACAATTTAATTATTCTTTGGGTAATATAAATTTACTAAGAGTTTCCACAGTACACGATCTTGGGGTAAAATTTGACTCCAAACTATCTTTTAATGATCATATACTTTTTATTAGGATTAAAGCGTCTGCAAAGCTAGGTTTTTTAAAACGTACCTGTCGAAACTTTAGAGATAAATCTGCTTTAAAAATATTATACTACTCGTTAGTCTGTTCACACTTTGATTATGCTCTCCTAATCTGGCATTCATATTCAATAAAACAAATCCAAGATTTAAACAAAATTCAAAATAATTTTATCAGATTTTTATACTATCAGCGTTTTGTTTATAAGAGCCTCTCATTCTGATTATAATGTTACAATCAACTTTTTTAATATACAACCGTTAAAACAGCGATTCGCACTTATTAAATTGAAATTTTTATATAAATTAATTAATAACATGATTGATGGTCCTTAGCTACTGCAAAATATCAATTTTAAAATAAATCTAACAAACTACCGATCTCCTAATTTATTTCACACAAAACTTTCAACTACAAATTATGTGCGAAATTCTCCAACCAATATTTTAATGTGCAGTTTTATGGCAAATGTCCTAAAAAATACATAACGAATAACTAGAATTTGTTTTATTATTTATTTTATTTTGATTTTCCTTTTATACATTCAGATTTATTGTATGATATTGATATCTATTTGTTTTATTATTATTATTTTATTACATTTAAATTACTGATAAAGAATCTTTGTATGAAAAAAAAAATGATTTTGTAACTCGAATTTATTTCCGTAATAAAGAAATAATAATATTATTATTATTATAGAAAACGTTTAAATAATTTAAATAAAAAATCTTAACTGGATTCATCTTATCTTTGAAACTATGACGAAAACAAATTTAGTATAAACTGTCCAATTCTATATAAATAAAAAAGTAGGTGTTATCAATTTTAAAAATGCCCATTTGTTCGCGTTCTACTCAATTTTAAAATATTAAAAGTAGCGGTGACAATGAAAGTTGGCGGACAATTTTCAACCATTTAGAGATTTTATTTTAGCCATTACGAACCAATAAGTGTTACTGGTCA